ATAGTGATTATACAGTTTAATGGAGTTTAGCAATACCTATGAATAGCTATGAATAATAAAATGTATATAACTGCCATTAATTGTTGTAGTAATGGCCTTTTCTTCCAATTTGGTTATAGGTAGATATACTGGATGTTCCAAATTTGACTCTCATCATTGGGATCTTGAAAACTGAAAGAGATAGAAACTCAATTCAATGGGAGCAAAGTTGCGCATTTAGGCAGCTAAAAAACGAAAGTTTAGCAATTCTGAATATTTTCACAAGAAAAAAAAATGAATTTTAACCAATATCGTTGTTATTTTTCCTGACTTTATCGACAACTTTACTCTGCCTTATGACCGCTACGTTAGGTTTTGGCACGGATTAGTAAAGTTTTTAATCCTAATTTCAGAAATATATTGCCATACATTAGTACTGTAGAAATGTGATCATCAAAAAAATGTCTTATAATATCAAAGTTTTCATGCATTGAGCATAGGTAAACAGTCATTATTTCTAAATGTATCTGATCTGACATTGAATGTCCATATGGACATGGATTGTTATTATAAAACTTCAAAGGCACAGAAAAGTAATCTTCCTATAGTTGATCGTCACACATGTAGGATACAAACGAGAGAGGTGACAATAATAGAATATGACGATACACGTGGAAACAAACCCATCTTAGAAAGCTTCGAAGTACCACCCTGTACCATTTCATTTTTACTACAAGGGCAGTACGTAAACAAACTCTATATGGCCAAGCGATAAGGGCGATATGATAGGATTGTCTTGACCAACACCTATTTTTAGAAAAAGACTTATGAAAATCTTCCGTATTCAACATTACATGCACAAATCTACTATTTACCATTACCTTCGTGTACCCCAACTTCTAGTAAGGAATCGTCACACAGACTGAATCATGGGATAGTCACACAGACTGATCCTGATCGTCACACAGACTGACTCTTTGGTCGCTAGGTGTACGAACAGACGTGCCGAGTTTAACGATTGATACAAAAAGCAGTCCAGGAATCAGGATATCACGTTGCCGTGTCAATATCCCAAATATCCGACGTTACCCCTGAATCAGAGATAACCGAGCATGAGATACATTCAGACCCCAGCGATTGCTAAGAAAAGATAGTTAAGCGGTCATTCAGACCTAGGGCCATCGTATCAACATCCCAAGTGCTCCTGGCAGAGGGAACCGAGCAGTAATTAACATAACTACCTCAACCCAGCAATCGGGCTCTGAAAGTGCCATAACTACCCTCAGAACCTGGAGGCGACCCACCTGCGGATATTCAACAACAAGTCGAAAGCCATAAATTAAATTATGAAGGTAGAAAGTATAGCATCTTTATAAACATGGCTTAAGACGTTCATGATCATGAGTATAAAAGTATTATAGTTATGAAACCATGCAGTATAGGAGAATAACGGAAACACTCAGTGATTGCTCACCTTTCAGGTAACCAAAACACTACACCCAATAGCACATCAACACTGCATTGAACTGAGATGTGAGGCCCGCCTGCGTTTTTAAGAAAGTTTATGCTGGGAACCAGTACCCAGAGAAGGAATAGAACGTATAGCATATACATGCTTATGGGCCGTCGTGCTGAGTGACACTAACCAGACTTGTGAACCTTCTAGAAAGATTTCGTGTGTTACAGGGTTGACATTATATGCAAAAATGTGTTTGAGACATTTCGTAAGCTTACACACATGATGATAAACTTTTTACATTATTTCAGAGTAGTAATGAAAACATCGCAAACGGTTTAATTTTAACGAAGTAACAAAAATATTTGGGAGTAAGTAAAAGCTTCGACGATGTTGCGGGATTCCAAACACATTTAATATCCATTTTTTAAAAAAACTAATGTTTGTGTAAATGTTTGACAGTACATTATTAGAATGAGAATTGAAATTTTATTCACCTATACAAAAATCCAATATGACATCCGTAAGAAAAAAATAAAGTTGATGATTGAGGCCAAGAGACGAAACTGCATATCGAAATTATAATTATACCTCTTTACAGGGAAGAAAAGTGGCAATTTTGATGTGCAATTTATTTTATAATCCCACGTCAAACAAAGTTGAGAAAAAATAAAACCTTTTTCAAAAAATTCGTTATTTTGTCATGCCATTTTCTCAGTTATAAATACGCAACGCAATTGGTATCTCTTTCCAAGATCTCAATGGTGAGAGTCAAATTGGAAACAGCCGGTATAGTATCAGCTGGGAATTAAAGCCCCATATCCGATGACATTCACGCACGACGGACAACTGAGATGTACTTTGTACTGTATTCGTGCGTTGTTGTGCTGATATAGGTATAATCTCTATCATTATTAATGTTCGGAAACGGCATTGTTTGCTTCAAGATCCTAGGTATTCTGCTTTGTTCAATAAGGTGACAAGGGCATACCCCCTTTTCCCGAGCTCGGCAAAAATTAGATGGACAGAACATTTAAAAAAAAAATTAAATTATTCATGTATAGGGTTCTCCACATCTCTATGAGATGAGAAATTACTACGATTAGTTGAAATCTGTGTATAAGCTTATTTTTGTTAAAACACTATACATGTTACGTGTTACGTTCAAATTCGAACCTCGCCTTTGGGATCTCGGAAACGGTAAAGCGAATGTCGCACGGTTGGACCAGCGAAAGATTGCAAGCCGAAAGAATGCGGACAAAAAATTGCGAAGTTGTCAGATGTTCTACATAAAATGCGGTCCATACATATTAACATATTTAAGATATAGAATTGTTCCGCTGAATTTGGCAATGTAGCTGGAAAACCCAGGCCGCAGGTAAACATCCGGTCGCTGATTGGTCCAAAACTCTTATCTTATCTGAAACTAGAATAACGTGCCGATGGCACGGTCATTTATAAACCTACTCCCATAGGCGTAGGCAGTTGGCAAATACTTTGAAAATATAATTTACTGTTTAGTGGTGATAATGGAATTCAAGCATGGGAAAGTTATTCACAGCCAGGCAAGGGAAATAATAGCAAACGTGATACGTGCTTGCGATGCAGAAGCGGCTAACAATACTTTCGTTTATCCACTGGTAGCTAGAAATGCAAGGGCGGCATATTATACGGGTGTTAGTGAACGAACTATAAGTAAAATTAGAAAAGAAGATAAAGACAGGCAAAATGCAACCTCCACACAGCCTTTAGCTTCTCCCGGAAAAAAGAGATCACGCCCTTCTGTGATCCAAAAAATTGATGGAGTCGATTTTTCCATTATTCGGAGAATGATAGAAAAATTTTACTGTGATTTTAAAGTGGTACCTACTTGTAGTAAACTTCTAATCAAACTGAAGGAAGAAATGGAATTTCCATTTGGTAAAGAATCGTTGAGGCTGCTTTTAAAAGCAAAAGGATTTTACTGGCGTAAATGCCACAACAAAAGGAAATTACTAATGGAAAGACCCAGTATTTTACATTGGCGATACAAGTATCTTAGGTCTATTAAAAAGTTCCGGGAAGAAGGAAGGCATATTATTTATTTGGACGAAACTTGGGTTGATAATGACCTCACTTTCAAGAAATGCTGGCAAAGCGAAGAAATTATGGGTGTCCTGAGCAATATAAGTTCTACAGGTAATAAAGTTTCTTTCACCTCGATTTTGCTTATTATACATTTTTCTCAATTTTGGAATATTCTTAATAAGTGCTCATTTAATTTGTCTAATTGAATACATAATCCCTTGCAAGTATTTTTTTCTCAAAAATATGTTTTTTATACATAGTGATTCAAAAAGGTGTTGGCAAACTTAAAATAACACTAAAATGAGGCTATTTATTCATTTCCAGGACGACTTATAATTGTTCATGCGGGTTCGCAAGATGGTTTTGTTCCTGGAGCCTGTCTCATTTTCAAGGCTGGCTGTGCCACTGGTGATTATCACGGTCAAATGAACCAAGAAAATTTCACGAAGTGGCTTACTGAAAAACTATTTCCTAACATTCCTCCTAATAGTATTATAATAATGGATAATGCACCTTACCATTCAGCTTTGGAAGACAAGCCTCCAACTAGATCTTCTCTAAAAAGAGACATCATCACGTGGTTGAGCAAAAAAGGTATAGAGCATGATCCTAATGCTAAAAAAATGGAGCTTTATGAAATAGCTTGTCTACATAGGCCACCATCTGATGAGAAAAATTATAAGATAGATAATTTAATAAGAAGTTTCGGACACACCCCACTTCGAACGCCACCCTATATGTGTCAGTTTAATCCCATAGAGATGATTTGGGCACAAGTAAAATTTTTCATTAGAAGCCATAATACAAGCGGCGAATTTACTATAAAAAAACTAGATGAAATTTCTAATAAGGCCATCGCTTCAGTAAGTGCCAGTGACTGGCAAAAGGTTATTGGACATGTTATAAAAATTGAAGATGAATATTGGGAAAAAGACAGTCTCATTCAAGAAATACAGGAAGAAATAATAATCAACATAGGAGGTGAAAGTGATAGCAATGACAGTTCCTCAGACAGTGATCATGACTCTAATCAGGATTGAAACTATACTAGATTGGCTACCTTTTAGAATTTTTAGATATTCATTTATTATACTATTGGTTTGTGGCTTTTAGTATCTCAGTAGAAAGTCTAATTCTATGTGTTGTTTATGGGTTATTTCATCAAGAAATTACTTTTTGTTTTCCTATATTTTTCTATTCAGTCAGATATTTTTGACTTGTTGTATTCTATTTTAGAAGAATGCATAATTTGTTTTGCTGTTCAATCATAATGCGTACATAGGAATATTACTTGTTGCCTAAAAAATATATTTATTTTGTTCTCAATATTCAGTGTTTGTGTATATTTATTTCTTATAATGTATGTTTGGTATCACGTCATTATGAATCGCAAAAAAATATTAATACTACCAGTTGTAATAAAATATAAATTCAATTAATAATTCAAGTCTCTCCGATCTCCGCCTATGACTCCATATAAAATCGTCTAATGGTAAGGTTTTTTCATCGCATTTCCCCCTTTCGTCCCTAGCAATCTTTGGCTGGTCGATCATTATTTACTGTAGCCCGTACCAACAGTGGATTTCTGCGTAATGCCTCCACTACACGTCTTCAGATGCGTCGGCGGACGTCGGCAGATGCATCGGCAGGTGAATCCCCACGAGCTGACCACACGTCTGCAGACGTCTGCAGGTCGCTCAGTCTGTGTCAAGCCTCGACAGATGCAACGGACGCAATATTTAAAAAATGGATGTTGAGATGGTAACTGCCGCAGCTATTTATTTGTTTAGTACTTTTAATTACTACTTGAGTGTGTATCGCAGTAGAGTTATTAAGAAGAAATGGAAAAGAAGAAGGTGGTGGATGCTGGCTATACATAGAAACAGAACAAAGTAAGTTGAATAGGGACTAGTCGAGTAATGTAAGATAATTTTGATGTAGACTTTCCTGATGTAATTGTCTTGGTTGGTTAGCATATGCTTAAAGTTATTCTCATATTTCAACGTATCAACCTTTATTACACGATATTTTTTTACAGGAATAGCATGGAAAATCAGCTTGCAGAACTTTACGCGGAGCCAGCTGGAGAATTTGACAATTTTGTTCGAATGTCTTGCAGCGATTTTGAATATCTTTTACAGAAGACATCTCCAATGATTGCTAAAAATGATACTGATCGGAGGGATGCAATTCCAGTGAAAGTACGCCTGGCAGTAACATTAAGATACTTAGCTACTGGAGATAGCTATAGAAGCTTGCATTACCTGTTCAAAATTTCAAGCCAAGTGATATCTCTAATTGTTCCTGAAGTATGTTTGGCGCTCAATGACATATTAAAGGATTTAGTGAAGGTAAACTACATTAATTTTAACTCAAAATATTTATTGCATGTCTAAAATAAAAAAAAATTATTGTTTATAAAAGTCAAAAATGCTGGTCAAAAATTAAGGTTACTTTGTACTATCCAATACATTGCCGATGCTTTCATAACAGGATCTAGTTGTCTCTGGTTGAATCACTTCTTGTGATAAAATGTTAATTACTTCGGATTGTTGTTGGTTGACGTTTTGTGGCAGCGATCCCACTGAATAAGGGGAGAGCGAGTCAATTGTGGCATAACTGGGTGACGGTGTTTGTGTTAAATATACACTGTTATTGGAGCTAGGATGACTGATTATCACTGGTGAAGGGGCAGAAACATTATATGATCTATTATGCATCAGTCTGTCGTAACAACGACGTTTGTTCAGCATAATGCCAAGCAATTCATACATAATTTCTTCTCTTTCAAGTCTAGGGTATTCTTTGATTTGCTTTGCCAGCATTCTACAAAATAAATCACATTTGTCTTCTTCTTTCCCTCTCTCCTTGTTTATCAGTGCGTTATTTAATGCAGTAAACGCTGTGCTCATTTTTCAGCTTGCTTCCTGGAATTCAGGCAGATTCATAGTACGACGTTATTGTCCTTGAAATTTTTGACTGCTTTGAGGAGGGATAGGAGGGACGTCAACGTCGACGTTGTTTTTTCCTTCTTCAGAGAGGTCACTAGCCCGTTCGTTCGAAGCGCCGGCTTCTTCACATACCTCAGGTCGTATCTAGGAAAGAAAAATACATTAAAAATATACGTAAATAATAATAATACATTAAAAAGCTAACTAGCAAGTTTAAAATATGATAGTAGTTAAAAATTAAAATTTGAAATATCTAATTTTTTTTTCTTTCAGATGCCTAAAACTGCAAATGAATGGCTCTCAAAGGCACAAGGCTTCAATTTTCCTCATTGCGTCGGAGCTTTGGATGGAAAGCACATCATGATTCTACCGCCACCCCATACTGCATCGGAGTACTTCAATTACAAAGGACACTTCAGCATTGTACTCTTAGCACTAGTTGATAGTGACTACTGTTTTATTTTTGTGGATATAGGATGCCCAGGACGGATAAGCGACGGTGGCGTCTACAATCAAAGTGTTCTAAAGCAAAAAATTGACACAAATGTGATCAACTTGCCACCTCCTAGTCCTTTGCCCAATAGTAACACTAACTTCCCTTATGTTTTTTTAGCTGATGCGGCATTTGCTCTGAGTACACATATTATGAAGCCATTTCCTGGGCATCATGCTGTTGGTACTCCCGAGAGGTTATTCAATCAAAAACTGTCTAGTTCGCATATGACAATCGAAAATACTTTTGGAATAATGTCTAGCGTATTCAGAATTTTCAAAAGGCCTATACCACTGAATATTCCCAAGGCATCTTTAATTACAATGACATGCGTCTTGTTGCACAATTTCTTGAGAAAAAGTAAAACATCTCGACATATGTACACTCCCCCAAATTCGGTAGATAAGTATGTTAATGGTGAATTAACCCAACCAGGATCTTGGAGACAAAATTACACAGGAACATTTGATCCACTGCAACATGTACCTCGAAGAGCTCCTACATGTGCAGTAGAAACAAGATTAAATTTTATGAAATATATTCACGAGAATAACAGTTAGCTATAGATGTACCTAACAGAATTTTCTGAAATAAATAGGATTAGAGAAACTTGGTTTTTTACTTACGTTTTCCTCTGAATTTATGAGACTGGTGGATTCATAAATATCTGTTAGAAATGCTGCCATCACATCATAAAAGATCCAGATGGGCTGGCACACGTCCTCTACTCCAGATCCCGACTTCATAGAAGACATTTTCTTTTTTAAGTTTGTCCTGAATGTTCCAAGAAGATTGTCTTTCTTTTTTTTTAATTCATGGATAGGAACACCCATCCTGTCAGCAATACGCTTTCATGAATCATTGATCTGAATTAATAAATATAAGCATCAATAGAGTGTCATCAAATCAAATATCTTATTAGCATCACATTTTCTTAAAAAACATTTCAAACAATACTTGCTGGATGAGAAGTAGGCTACGTGACCATGACCTTGAAATGACCTTGACCTTCAAAGATCGTTTGAACGTCAGGTTGAAAATCTAAAATGAGAAGACCGTTTTTTCAATCCGTAATTGAAGAGAGCAGAACCTTTTACGTTGTGACTCATTGGATTCATGATCAAGGTCAAGATTCAACGTGAAACAGGTATGAGCCCCTCCTCTACTATTACATAACTTCTGCATGAACCACCTTCTAAATAATCGTACTATTTTGTCCTTGGAATGACCTTGAACCTTAACCTTGACCATGAAGCCAATAACTTACCTAAATGGAGAAGGATCTGCTCTTTTCAATTACGGAGTTAAAAATTGGTCGACCCATTCAAAATTTTCAAATGACAAGATCAATGTTTTCAAGATAATGGTCAGTTAGCCTTCCTCTCGCCAAGAAACTTTTGTTTTGAGCATTTTTTAAGGAAATTTGCTTTCAACAAGGTATTCCATTATCTCAAGATAATGAATATGTATTGATCGACCAGCCAAAGATTGCTAGGGACGAAAGGGGGAAATGCGATGAAAAAACCTTACCATTAGACGATTTTATATGGAGTCATAGGCGGAGATCGGAGAGACTTGAATTATTAATTGAATTTATATTTTATTACAACTGGTAGTATTAATATTTTTTTGCGATTCATAATGACGTGATACCAAACATACATTATAAGAAATAAATATACACAAACACTGAATATTGAGAACAAAATAAATATATTTTTTAGGCAACAAGTAATATTCCTATGTACGCATTATGATTGAACAGCAAAACAAATTATGCATTCTTCTAAAATAGAATACAACAAGTCAAAAATATCTGACTGAATAGAAAAATATAGGAAAACAAAAAGTAATTTCTTGATGAAATAACCCATAAACAACACATAGAATTAGACTTTCTACTGAGATACTAAAAGCCACAAACCAATAGTATAATAAATGAATATCTAAAAATTCTAAAAGGTAGCCAATCTAGTATAGTTTCAATCCTGATTAGAGTCATGATCACTGTCTGAGGAACTGTCATTGCTATCACTTTCACCTCCTATGTTGATTATTATTTCTTCCTGTATTTCTTGAATGAGACTGTCTTTTTCCCAATATTCATCTTCAATTTTTATAACATGTCCAATAACCTTTTGCCAGTCACTGGCACTTACTGAAGCGATGGCCTTATTAGAAATTTCATCTAGTTTTTTTATAGTAAATTCGCCGCTTGTATTATGGCTTCTAATGAAAAATTTTACTTGTGCCCAAATCATCTCTATGGGATTAAACTGACACATATAGGGTGGCGTTCGAAGTGGGGTGTGTCCGAAACTTCTTATTAAATTATCTATCTTATAATTTTTCTCATCAGATGGTGGCCTATGTAGACAAGCTATTTCATAAAGCTCCATTTTTTTAGCATTAGGATCATGCTCTATACCTTTTTTGCTCAACCACGTGATGATGTCTCTTTTTAGAGAAGATCTAGTTGGAGGCTTGTCTTCCAAAGCTGAATGGTAAGGTGCATTATCCATTATTATAATACTATTAGGAGGAATGTTAGGAAATAGTTTTTCAGTAAGCCACTTCGTGAAATTTTCTTGGTTCATTTGACCGTGATAATCACCAGTGGCACAGCCAGCCTTGAAAATGAGACAGGCTCCAGGAACAAAACCATCTTGCGAACCCGCATGAACAATTATAAGTCGTCCTGGAAATGAATAAATAGCCTCATTTTAGTGTTATTTTAAGTTTGCCAACACCTTTTTGAATCACTATGTATAAAAAACATATTTTTGAGAAAAAAATACTTGCAAGGGATTATGTATTCAATTAGACAAATTAAATGAGCACTTATTAAGAATATTCCAAAATTGAGAAAAATGTATAATAAGCAAAATCGAGGTGAAAGAAACTTTATTACCTGTAGAACTTATATTGCTCAGGACACCCATAATTTCTTCGCTTTGCCAGCATTTCTTGAAAGTGAGGTCATTATCAACCCAAGTTTCGTCCAAATAAATAATATGCCTTCCTTCTTCCCGGAACTTTTTAATAGACCTAAGATACTTGTATCGCCAATGTAAAATACTGGGTCTTTCCATTAGTAATTTCCTTTTGTTGTGGCATTTACGCCAGTAAAATCCTTTTGCTTTTAAAAGCAGCCTCAACGATTCTTTACCAAATGGAAATTCCATTTCTTCCTTCAGTTTGATTAGAAGTTTACTACAAGTAGGTACCACTTTAAAATCACAGTAAAATTTTTCTATCATTCTCCGAATAATGGAAAAATCGACTCCATCAATTTTTTGGATCACAGAAGGGCGTGATCTCTTTTTTCCGGGAGAAGCTAAAGGCTGTGTGGAGGTTGCATTTTGCCTGTCTTTATCTTCTTTTCTAATTTTACTTATAGTTCGTTCACTAACACCCGTATAATATGCCGCCCTTGCATTTCTAGCTACCAGTGGATAAACGAAAGTATTGTTAGCCGCTTCTGCATCGCAAGCACGTATCACGTTTGCTATTATTTCCCTTGCCTGGCTGTGAATAACTTTCCCATGCTTGAATTCCATTATCACCACTAAACAGTAAATTATATTTTCAAAGTATTTGCCAACTGCCTACGCCTATGGGAGTAGGTTTATAAATGACCGTGCCATCGGCACGTTATTCTAGTTTCAGATAAGATAAGAGTTTTGGACCAATCAGCGACCGGATGTTTACCTGCGGCCTGGGTTTTCCAGCTACATTGCCAAATTCAGCGGAACAATTCTATATCTTAAATATGTTAATATGTATGGACCGCATTTTATGTAGAACATCTGACAACTTCGCAATTTTTTGTCCGCATTCTTTCGGCTTGCAATCTTTCGCTGGTCCAACAATATATACATAATTAAATTATAGTAATTGGTTGTATACTTACAACATTTTCGTTTTTGTGGTACTTATTCTTTGGATTCCACAGGCAGTTTTCTGCTTGATATAGCTCAATAAATTTGAAGGTTTCATCTGTGGTCATATTAGCCATGTTAGCGAAAAAGGTTAAGGTAAAAACCTTAAGAAGCGCGAGTACAGTCTCTTTCCCGCGTGCTCACTGCTCATTCGTCGTCAGACGTGTGGTCAGACGTCGGACGCTCGCGCCTTAATCCCTTTGTTGCGTGTCACAAAAACCGACAACAGACGGAAGAGCGCCAGACGCATCTGCCGACGTCCGATACCGCCCACAGACGAGAAAATACCCCCCTCTACACGTTGGCGGACGCACCCGCAGATGACGTCTGCCGACGCATCTGCCTACGTGTGGAGGAGCCTTAACATTGTGCATCAATAATTACAGACGTCCAGGTTACACGGTCAATAAATATCAAATCTCATAATAAATAGACTCGGAGTACTTTATCGGCGCTTAGTTGCGTAGGTAAATAAAAAAATAGATCTTTGAAAGTTTGGAAATTCAAAGTATGTTTCTAAATTTTTCTGGGGTTTTAAACAAATTACACAATAACATCTTCACTTCTACTCTTCTACACGGCGTCATAATTAGAATTCCGATCTGATGTTTCAGCTCTCAGTTTTTTAAATTAAACCGTTTTCGATGTCTTTATTAGCCTTAAATAATATAAATGAGTTAGTTACATTATATTGTTCCTCATTCGAAATATTGAAACCGACTATATGGAGTTAGGCATTTGAAGCTTTATATCAATGCGTAACATGTTATCATCTTTGATATGCTATGAAATACATGACTGTATGATAATTTTAAGTCTTACTCAAAAACATTTTTTTTATAACAATGATGATATGCTGTAATATTTGAAATCAGAATTAAAAGTTATTCGAATATGCAAAAATGGCATACATACAAAAAATCGAAGTTGAGGCGGGGATGAGAGACGAAAAAGCATATTAATGTTCTATCTATGCCCCTTGCAGAGATAAAAAGGTGGCAATGTCAATTTGCAGTTTATTTTGAAATCCTATCTCAAATAAAGTAAAAAAAACTCAGAAACGATTTTGGGGAAATTCGTTCCCTTTTCCGTCAATCGCTGGAGATACTGGAAGCATCAAAGCCTTTCAAATGGATTTTATAAAATACATATACATGTACCTAAATACTCAACTTTGCCGTCATTCAATTATTGTTTCGGAGATCACAATGATCAATATATGACAAATTTGCTTTCCAAGTCATTGTAGAATAAACTAGCTAATGTATCTTTCTCGATATTCTATAAAACTATTTTTGGCTATATGACGAAATTGCAAGTAATTCTAGAAAAACAACGAATAAATATCGACAAAGAGAAATTATTTCCGGAATTAGTATAATATGCTATATCTCCCGCTATATCAAATCTTCTTCCTTTGATCTGGGATATTAAAATATAATAAAAGGAGTACGCTGTTCAGTTTGAAAAAAAAATGTTTTTGTAATCATGTCGGTATGAATTACCCTGTATGGAGCGGTATATTCCAAGTAGGAAGCATATAGTCCACAATTTGTGCAAATAACATTTTCGATCATGTTTTAGCGTAATGGAGATATTGTCCAAAACGATACTAAAAACTCATCCTGTATGTCTAATTTGTTGCAGTTACGTCGCTGGAAAGTTTGAGCATTTTTGAAGTTTTTTTTCGATGATAATCACTACAAAGGCTTTTGGCTATTATTTTATATTTAATCTTATGCACTTTTTGGCAAAAAAATTAACGATTTTTTGCAAAAATCTATTTTGAAGGTGTTTTCATGTGTTTCCCTTTCCCAATTCTTCTCAAGACTTTGAAGTTTGATAAAAAAAAGTTACCCAAATTTTTTAATTTCGTGATAAGCCTTTGCATTCACACTTAAGAACATACAAATCCTGTACAATTCCTTTTACATTCACATTTGTTTCAAAAAAAGTAAACCTAGTAGTTTTCCATGTCCATATGAATTCTCATATCGTCATGAAATGAAAGTCAAATAGAGAGAAAAACATCAAGCATAGTTATATAGATACGATTTGTAGAATTTCCACCAAAAATTGTTTTGAAGATGTCCCCCTTCTGCTTTAAGCTGTAAGGTGTTCTTCTATGCTATGATATAAATCAAAAGCCAATACTCTCCAGGCCTAATTCTAATTTGATTTGACTCTAGAAATTTATTAGATGTTACCTTATCATATGCGTGATCGACCATGATAATTTTGAAGACACGTTCTTACTGATTTCTTTATCAAAATCGTCACGGTAGGACAAAACTAACATGCCTGCTTCCCCGGTTCTGATTTCCATGTTGCTCCCATGAAAACAGCTTGAATTATAATAGAGAAGGCATATCTGGCTCAATATGATTATCTTATTTCAGGTTTTTATTTAGGAGCATTTACTACTGACCACATAAACGTGAAGATTAGTCATCAACTTATATCGTTTTCTTGCAGCAATTAATCAAAAGAAAGATAATTGTTACCACATTTCATACTGATTTCATTTTGGACATTCAGAGTTACAAATATGATGCAATAGAATAAATGCTAGAATAGAAGATATACCCAAAAAAGGAGAGTTCACCACAGGGTGCTTTTCCACTTGCCCTTTAAGATAAAAACACTCAATCTTCAAAATTTTTATACGAATATGTACTCGTATAATAGGTTACATTTTCATTTTATTGGTTTTTATAATAAAAAAATCGATATAATACTAGCATTACCTAACCTAACTGAAAATACATTTATACAGCATGGAGTGCAACAGTAGGTACACGACCAACTAATCACATTACCTACATCTTCTTCTCAGCTTCCTTAAATCTAGATACATTTAAAAGCATGAGGTGTCTAGTTGTGGGTTTTGTATATATTGTATTTGAAGCTTCTTTGGTATACAGACGTTTTATGTGACTGAGCCGAAATACTATTTTCGTAACGAATGTTGTCATCATGTACTGCTTTTCTGAATTTCACTTAAGTAAGGCGGGTTCTTGGTGGACAGAATTTTATGGTAAAAGCAAAATACAACTACCTCGAAATGGTGTTTCATATGCATCCAGTGGAAGGGTTTTAATTTATTTCTAACTCTCATATTTGGGTGTACCAAAGATAAAACGCACACAAGTGTTCTAAGCTCGTTGTTTCAAGCAGATGTGAGATGAGATATGAGAGCTGTGATACGATCAGAGATGTACAAAGCAATCTATTTTGGATGAACATATAATTAATTTGTTCTGACCTCCATGGTCACGACGTGGGTAGTGTCGACGTCGCCCATACACAGCGATACCGTATCGTCACTAGCAAAGTCCGCTATGACACAACTTCTCGCTTCTCTGGCAAAATGAAACCACATATGTTGAAATCAACTCTTACTGACGTTTCGGCCATTATGGTGCCCTTTTTCAAAGTACAGTCCGATGATAGGGTACTCTGAAAATGGCCACCGCGGCGGCCGAAACGTCAGTAAACACTGTAAACAGTAATTTCATTATATGTTTTTTCATTTGGCCAGAAAAAACATGGCTTTTTATCAGCACGTAGACCACAGGATAAGTTTCGAATGTTACTCAAGGCAGTGGGCATTTTCTCATCAAAATATTGTATTACGTACATGGAAAAGCTTAACTAGCTGTTGTACACTTGCTGTGTACTCGTTTCGTAGCTGTAGGTGTTGCCTAGACGTCATGATGCTTCTGTTATCAATATTTGGCTTTGATGTGATGTAACATCTGCTTCAGAGATGGCATTATTGGAGGTGTAGCTGTAAGTTGTGTAGTATAGCTGGAAGGAAACGGCAGTGCATAGGTGCATAGTAAGGATTTGTGTGCTAATAATCTGTGTTGATGATAATTCCATTGGCTTTTGTCTCAAGTACACTTACTTAAGATGTATGCAAAGCTAAACATTAGTTGCACATCCGCTTTTTCTTATTAAGCCTGGAAATTACATACATATACAAATTTGCTGAATTTAAAAAACAGAGCGATAAGAAAAGTAAATGAAATCCTTGGTTGGTGAAGTAAATTAAACCTAGCAGGTGAGAAAATATGGTACAGACAGATATTTACATTCATTTTTAGTTCCAATCAGTTAAATTTAAAAAAAGTTTATTTTATGATGTAAAGAAGAAAATACAAATCAGCGCCTAGATCTCATTAGCGCCAGCCAGGTGCTGATTTGCCCTAATGCTTCGCAAAGTTTTTAAAAACGCGAAAAAAACGGGGTAAATCGTAATGTATAACTTTGAACATAACCTCTTCAGAAAGGACCACACAAATAGCCCATCTGGCACAGCTAATAGATATATTTCATGGACAGCTTTTTTAACAATAATTTTCTCACATAGCAAATATCACTGATTTTATACACATGCAGACCAATAGACTCAATCATCCAGATGTGACCTTGCTACTCTGCTGCTTAACCACATGTTTTCTCAGAGTATACTCTACGGACTATCTCGGCATTCTGCAACCAACAAAGTATCATGATGGGGAACTGACTTGCAGCTTGCAGCATGGTCACTGAGCGTGTCGTGTTGTTGAGTCATTCCTTCATAGATGGACGCTCACAGCGCTCATAGCGAACAAACGCGGCATGTACTGTTTGCACACTAGAAACTACGAATATCTAGGCAGCAAGTTGACATTTTGTCGTTTTTTATGTTTTTTTACGTAACTGGCCTGCCCCATATGATCCTAGTTCGATCCTTGTACCTGTAATACGGTATAATGGACAGATATTTACGATTTTGTGATATATCCAACAAACACATATGCATAAAGCTTTCTGGGTGTTGAAAGCTCTTTGGACATTCAATGTTTCAGCGTGACAGCGAAACAAGTAGGGAAACGAGATGGGAGGAGCGATATGCTAAAGGGGGCGTGTTTCCACCCTGAAAGAGGGTTGATCGGTAGCTGAATGGCATGCGGTAAGGGATGCTGTGGTTTACGAACTGTTTACTTGACATTTATACCCCGCCGCCTGTTAAATGCGATAACTGCCGCCGACCTACACTTGTGGTGAAACAGTTTTGCGATTTTATCTTGCACGGAAATGTGATAAAATGTGAACGGAATTTTGTGAACGTCTTGCGATTGCTTCAGAAGTTCAACATGACGATGCAAGAGCATAAATCGTTTATGATAAAAGACCTATTAGGTGATGTTTTGATGCCTTCAGGTACAGATAATGAAGGTAAGGTCTTACGATTTGTTACCAATTTTCTGTGATACAATACTCATAGCCGCTTCTTGAGTCTAATGTTTTTTCTTTGATATTTGGAAATAATAAAACAGTTCACTGCAATTGAAAATGTAATTCCCAGATATCTCGTTTTTGATAGATTTTGTAATAGAAGTCATTTTTTATTCTGTAATGTTTTGGGACTTCCTACGTAATGAAAGGCTGTATCATATGTTCTTCGGCCTGTCTGTAGATCTGTTATTAGTTTCATTAGCAATGCGTTCTACCGGCAACCAGCACATTGAATTTGTAGAAAAACTGTAATAGCGATCTTTTTTTAATCTGAGATATCTTTGGAGACCTTAGGCCCATGAAAAACCATATATTCTTCTGCCTGTCCGTCAATCTGACATTAGCTTCGTTGTCACCATATAAGCAATCAGTAAACCAAATATGAAGGAATTTGCGAAACTACATAATGATGAATGATTCATTTCTGCATCAAGAAGATCCATCTCTAGACCGACTTTATGGATGGATGTATGTAATAATGTCGGCAAACTCTATTTATTGTTATTTCAAGGTGTTCCATTCAGGCTTTATTAAATCCCAAACAATGAATTTTTTTGGTACATTTCTGATTATTTTAAAGTGCAGACAATGATTCTATATGGGTTTTCAAAGAAACTTCGTTTATGTACCTACTTTTCCGAATATGTAAAATCTTTAACTTAGTTGCTTCTAGTAATGTGTTCGCGTTTCAAGTTAATTACTTATCGAGGACGTACTATGATCTCCAAAAATTTTGAAATTCAGATATTCAATGTTCTGTACGTTACTTGATATATGCACCACAAAAAACTTTCCAATCTTCTACGTCAGTCCTTTTGTCTGTCGGTAGATCTGTTTGCCTGTCTTTTCGGTAAACTTTTTAGTGCATCTAGAACTCAGAAACACCGCTCGGATTTTTATGAAATCCTAGCACAAGGACGTTCAAAAACATCACTTATCCATGTTTTTCTAGTATCTGATGGTTTTGGAGCGTCAAATGTTTTTTTGGTGGATCGGATTGTTCAAAGACCTGTCCGCTTTTCGGCGTACTCTAAATAGCTTACTTCAGCGAGTAGCCAAAAAAGTGGTATTAAAGAAATTGAAATCGAGCATTTTTCATGTTCTTTTACCTCTCACTAAAGACGCATATAATTTTAGTGTACCTGAAATTTTATATAATTTATATTATTGCTTAGGACGTACCTACTGAGCGAGGTATTGGATCAATCTACTCAACGCCATTTTGTTATTGCGGTCCTCCAGTGGCGACTCGTGACTTTTCCTAAACTATTACCAAAAAAAAGTTTATTTTGAACCTCCCAAATATAAGTTTTTGCTTATTTTAGGTATTTTATTTAAACTATTTTTAAATTAAGGTAAACATTCCTGGACTGAGCGTCTGGGGCACTTGATATACCTCATCGTCTTATGCTATGACTAATCCAAGCCGTCCGAAAAAAACAGTCGACGTTTCTAGATGTTCGGAAAATTTTTGATCTTTTTTGGCAATGAATGTTAACAATTCCCTGTAATTTCCTCTATTGTGAAGGTCATGCACTTCAAAATGAACGGTAATTCCTGTTTTGCCAAAAAACATACGGTATCTAGAAGTGTGCTGCCTAAAAGCTTGGTTAAGACAACTTTCGATTCTTGTCTTGCCAAACTGAATTAAATTGGCTACACATCTCACATCGAACGGAGAAATCTCATGAATACTCTTTAGAGCCCAAAAACTATTTAAATCGTTGACTCCGCTGCTGGCCCACCCATTTTTTTCTGTATAAAACAGAAGACATCGCCAACAATACAATCTGTTTTTTTGCAACCACATAACCAAGAGTTTCCATATACCAACTTAAATTAAAATATCAAACTACGTTTTTTTTAATTATCTAAAATAGGTGTTGGTCTTCCATTTTCAGTGATCTCCTTTTTTTCTTAAAAATTATACAAGGAAAATGACTTTTCAGGTTGGTAGTTGATCGATTACGCAGCGACACTCATCCATCTTTAATTGCACGCACACTACAGCCGGTAACCAAAACGGCTACTGACGAGTGAGAAGTGAGTAACCAAATCAAAAAATGGTAACAAGCCCACATAATAGCCGCAGCGCCTCACGCACTCGAGCGGCCGCGATCAGACACGAGCACGACGGACTACCAAGTGTATCCATAAATGAAAATGGTAACAACCGACAACCAAGTCGAGGCGAGTCAGCTTCATCGTGTTCGCAAAACCTAGATAGACACTATAGGGCGCATTATTTTCGTGGGGCTAATTTGCTATTTACTGAATTACTATTACATATCGGTGTTGGTAAACAAATAAATGAAATTATTTCACAGTACTTAGTCATAAAATATTTATTTTTAAGGTTTTTAACTGCTAACAATGGTTACATGGACGCTTCGCCACTGCTGTCCTCTTAAGCCATATGTAAATAATTTAGGCAGTTTCCTGGGTTTTATAAATTCTTCAGTATTTATATCTTACCTCAATGGGAAGCATCAGGTCAAAGTACTTGACATCACCGAAATCGAATAGATAAGAAGAAGCTAAGCTTGCATATTTGCAGTGCATTGTTTATCTCCAAAATTGTGTAGTTTTAGTACTTACATACTTCTGGGTACCGAAGTGACAATCCAAGACATCTAGGATCTACGTACATTCTTTTCTCTGGAAGGGATAGCTACTCGTGCTGGGCGTACTCAAGAAGAGCAAGGTAGTAATACCATAGTTGTAGTCATCGTTCTTGGCGGGTCAAAGTTAGACAAGGAGTATCCATTTATATATCTCCATCTCCCTCATACATACATATGAAACCTACCCCTGTGTGTGAAGGTTTATTCGGTAAGCTCAAATACATAGATACGTTGTGTGTCTCCGAATCGGAAACTTTGTCGTTACGTATGAATGCCCTTCAATCATATTTGTCAGAGTGATAATTTAGTTGAAATTGGCGTGCATTTCGAGTCGTCCTGTTATCAATCTTCAATATAAAATTGTACAATGCCCGGAAATACGATCAATAGAGATGGCCGACAGCTCGTGATAAATTTATTAGAGTATTTTCAGGAAGAGAATAAAAACAGCGGCCCCCTGTTACCAACTTCATGCGTACTGGAGAGAGTAGCAGATGCGATTAAGATTAGTCTGCGCGCATGGCACGGATCTGTTTACTTATTTCATATGGTGTTGATGACGTAACCGCCAAGAACGGTGACTACAACTTTACCTGTGTTGCGGTGTGGATCGATTACTTGTTGTTAATAAACAAGGATACACTAAATAGGGAAAGGAAATGAAACTATAAATTCATTGACGATACAACAGGTGAAAACTTCGGCTTAATTCGTGATTTGGCAAGTTGAGCAATATGAAACATTCCCATCAAATAGCAATAGTGGCGCAATAACCTGAAATAGCGTAAATAGTGGGAAGCCTTGCAGTAATTCTATTAGGTTTTTCTAAATAGTTGTCGAGATCCGAGAATATTCTTGGCTAAAAGCAAATACCTAGTTGAGCATATTGTGGAAATTCCTGCTACTATATCATTGTCACTATACTTATCCAATAAAAGTACTCGGAAGTATCTTAATTAAATTGCTATTCATAGTTTTTTAGCCGTACTGAGGTTCCTCCATAGAATCTAGTTGCGGTAAATTGATATCGTAAAATTATTACTTATAACGCGAAAGTACCTTTCTTAAGAACTTTTAGATTCAATATTGAAGTAGGCATACAATTTTGTCAACAAACCTTAGATTGGGACTCAATGAAACAAGAAGTGAAATGAAATGAGTCAAAATTGCCTCACCACAGACCAATGTTGAGGTACTTACTACACGACGTTTCGTAACGCCGATCTCTATAATATGTATCACTTAGAAATTAAAAAGGTTTGCTTTTATTCAGTTTAAACTACTTTCTACAATCTACAAAAACCATCACCACTTTCGGCAGAACAGTAGGATTTTATAGAACCCACGCATTTTTATGTTTCCGCAAAAAAGTACGAATTTAGTCTGAAAAGCCAATAACTGTCAAACTGGCGATTGAACCTGATCGACTTGTATGATTACATAATTATTTTGGCGACAAAGAAATCGTATTCTTGCTCCTTCTAGTTAGCCCGAATTCCTTGCATATGCTGTAGCCTAAATATAAGAGACCGGCCCGTCGCACAGTCATCGATTAATAGTTAAAACCGTGGTTAAAACCGCAGATGCAGAATGTCAAACTTTGCCTACGTTTTGGTTTCTATTGCTGAGAAGAATCAATATGTAATTCAAACTCTAAAAGTTAAAGGTTAACATCCCTAGTTAACTGACTTATTGTCCAGGCGACAATCGGTGGCCTCTATGCTACATTGTTGTTTGGCACCTCCCAAATGGCGATATCTCCACCTACTTTAGTTGACTTTCAAAATACTCTCTTCTGCAACTACCGCCATCGTTTAATTGGAGCTTTGGATTTGCTTTATCTATCTAATTTGAACGTAGAAACTAAGAAATCTAGCCACTATGTCGTATGTATAAATATTAAATCTAATTTAAAAATGAACAATTTATTGTTAAATAACAAAATTATTTCTTCTTTTTTGTCTTCCTGGGAATCGATTAATAATAATACTTACCATCTCCTTTGAATCCAGTGCAACAACTTTTTTGTGGTTTTGTCCGCAAAGTGGCGGATTTAAGTAATGGCAAAATAGACATTGGCGCCTGGGCCCCCCAATGAAGGGCCTCCCCAGCAAAAATCAGTGTCTATATTGTTCAGCGCATCTGAATGTAAAATTGATAACAAGAAATCAGAATGTTGTTATATTCTTTTAATGACCATCCCCGTAATGTTTATGAAACAGGGCGTTAGCATTCAGTTTGAATAAGTAAATTTCCCTTTCATTTCTTCAAATATTTTCTGAAAAATAAACTATTTCATATCTAAAAAAATGACCGAATCACCCTTTTATTGCTCAAGGAGATGAGGGGTTATTTTTTCATTTTGTGCTTGCAATGATATATTTACCTATTACCTGGCATATAATGTTCAGTAAATAAATATCTTCGTGGTATGAATCAGCCTCTTTTAGTCTGATAAAGACTCTAATGCATCTATTATAGTCTTTTCACGTCTTCAATGCTTGTAACCATAAACTTTCACAATACTGTGCATTTTTTTATTTGATTACATATCTATTTTCTTCGTGATAATATCGTGGAAGAAATTTTTTGAATGAATTATCAATTGCATAGAAGATGAAATTTCAAGAGTGGGAGCTTCTGACGAAGATATAATGAATGCAAGATCTCTCCTTTCCTCCATGAACTGGACCTTTTTTTCAATTTGTTATGGTGGTATTGAGCGTAATGAATACCGTGCAAGGTCAAATGCAAAAGAAAGAAATAGACTTGATGATGGCTCAAAGGTGCATTTCAGCAGCATTAAAAAAATTAAAAGATTTGAGAAGCGAAAGCACATACGATAATTTTGTTCTGAAGTCTAAGAATAAATGGGAAGAGATGGAACGGGAAAATCCTGGTTTTCCCAGTGTCCGAAAGAGGAAATTCAAAAAAATGTTCGACGAAAAACCTGCTGACTCGCCATTGGAAACACACGAAAAACATCTAATAAATGACTACGAAGTTTTGGATTCAATGAGTAACGAATTGCAAGAACGTACTGAAGGATTTCGTGAAGTGGAATTGGTTTTTTGATGCCAGAGAAATTAGTCAATCTAAACGAAAACGAATTAGAAACCAGCGTCATTATTTTGATGGAAAAAATTAGGAGTTTTTCACTACAGATCTAAAATATGAATTAACCAGTTTTACGAGCATGTATTTTTCGAAAAATCATAATTTTTCTAACGACAGCCCGCTAGACTATTTGAAGTTCATGATTGCAAACGATTTTGTAGACAGTTTTCCAGAGAGCTGCAGTTTATTCAGATAATTTTTGACTTTGCCTATCGGTTCAGCTAATGCTGAACGTGTCATGAGCTCGTTGAAAATTATTAAGGAATACCGTCGTGTTCCTTTGGATAAAGATACACTCAACAACTTCTCTAACCTCTATATCGAAAGATCAGTAGCTAATACACTCAATTTGGATTCTGCGATGGAAGTTTGTGCTGAACGAAAAGCAAGACGCGGATTCAAATTATTATAATAATTCTGTTATTTTGTATTGAATAAAAAAATATTTGATCTCACAGTCTCTACTTGATTCAGGTTATATAGACATACAGTAAAAAAACAGAGGTAACAGTGCGCAGGAGCTACTATTGTGCATATAGTTGTAAGCCCCTTTATCTGAACAGTTTAGATGGATTTTACGTTATCGAAAAATTTTAGTTCCGCGTGAATATTGAAATAGTTGAATAAGCTGTTTTATTGGCACGTTGAAGCAGCCTCAGATTAGCTTTTTTACTATTAAAAAACCTTTTGCCCTATCCATGAGCTTGTTGCGGTTACTTGTGCAGGTCTTTCTAATTTTTTTATTCTCAGTTGCCGTCGTTAATTTGCAAATAGCGATAAATGTGGAGAATATCACTTTCGCAAATAGTGCCCAGCATATACCCTGTAGTAATGCACGTTATTTAACGTATTTTGCTGTTGTTCACCAAGTTTGTATTCAATGAAATATTAATACGGCAAACATGACAACAACTATCGATCATATTTTTTTCTCAATTATAATTTTATGCAAATTCTATAAATAGCGTGCACTCCAAATTTGACTCGACGCCCTTTACTTATCGGTAGCATCCGGTATCATGCAACTTTCAAAGTTTGTATTGCCTTTTTTTATTTGTCAATAATTGCAGTAATTTATGTTATATGCAAAACAGTTATAGAGCGCACTATTTGTCGTCTGTCCCAGATCATACCAGTGCCCCCCCGTACATATCGCCGACCGGGCCCTTTTCCTTAAATCCGCCGCCACGGTCCGTCAAAAAGTATTTTTTATCAAATTTGCTCACAGCTTAAGCGCACGCGAAGTTTTTCCTACCTCAAGCTGACCGCATAGGCAACCAGTCTTGCGCTATCATCTGTGAGCTTACAGTTAAATCAAAGTTGACGGATGCAGGGCTGCCAGGATTTAGTAGAAAATACCATTACGGCATCCATTTAATATGTGTGTATTACAGATTTATGTAAGAGATTTGGAACTTTAAAAATTGGTGGTAGAACTGAATTCGCCTGGGGGGAGGGTCATGACCCCCATGACCCCCCCTGGATCCGCGCCTGATGCGAGTATTCAAATACAATATGAAAAATATAAACACTTTGCTGTAAAAAGAGTAGACGTGCCTTCTAGCAATAATTAGTCCAGAGTTGGTTCCACTCAAGTTGTCTGTTCCCCACCTATACTCCAATTAGAACGCCATTGTGTCTTATGCGTTTTGAGCTATTTAAGCATCGCTTTAATGAAAACAGAATGGAAATCTCGCTGCTCCAGCACCTAGCCTGAGGTTATTGTCGAGGCAAACGGGATTTGTTGGGGGTTTTGCAGAATGGTTTCGTCATTTGAAGAGGTGCTTTGATGGACCTTTGTTTCCATTGAGAAACCGGTGCTTTTTTAATTAAAACAAGTGAATCCTACTTTCCTTCCACCAATGCATGACGTAAAGAAAACAAATACACACCATAGGTAGTGTATTTGGGTGTATAAAAAATGGCGACAAGTACTTCCCACGCTACGCGGTCATCAGTTCGTAAAGGATTATGTTTACACAAATTAGCCCTTCTGGGAAAAAATATATCCACGAACATGTATTACAAAAGGTTAAATAGCCTTCCTCCTCCACCTGAAAGGAATTGCTGCAGATGAAAATGATCGTTGTGACGACCAGTCCCGCGTGAGTGACGGTATTGGCTTTCACCATGCACAGTGCACACTGCACAGTCCTCAGTAGTGTGGAAGCGATTGCCGACGTACGACCACCGACGATGACGCTTGTCCATCGAGGGTCGACAACGCACGTTTCGATATGTTTTAAGAGGAAATCTACGGGGACCTCTACGATAAGTTAGATAAGATTTATATGTGCGTGGAAATACTAGGGTTGGAAGCGTATAAATATATCAACATCCAAAAATTGAGATATACCCTCCCCTATACCCTGTAACCTCTAGCCCCCAATTTTTAATCCATACAATTTTTGAACTTTGTGCGATTTTTATTTCTATTCCGTTTGTGGCCTTTTTCTCCGCCGCCACTGGACCGACTTTCAAAAACTACAAAGCGTTTGCGTCCTTGGTACAGTAGTAACATTGCTTAAACATTTCATCGAAATCCGAATGGTACTTTTTAAGTTATAAGCGGTTATAAAATTAACGGACAGACCGACAAACCGACAGACGGAAATTAGCAGCATGTTTTTTCGTGATGTACACATACATCCAAAAAACATAATATCTCATTCACGAAAATTTCCGCAATTACATAAAATGAAAGATGCATCTTTTACAGGGGCCGACTATCCCTCAGATTCTGAGTCCCAAGAAGACGACCCTCCGTCGCTCTCGGACAGTATTTCGTCTCCAGCATTTTACCCCAATATTACAACGACCTCTACGTCGTCCAGAGAGACAAATATTAATTCGGAATCATCTGCAAAGGGGCGAAAGCCACGCAGACGTCGTACAGCCTTTACGCATGCGCAGCTAGCGTACCTGGAGCGGAAGTTCCGATGCCAGAAGTACTTGTCTGTGGCGGATAGGAGCGATGTGGCAGATGCACTCAATCTGAGTGAGACTCAAGTAAAGACGTGGTATCAGAATAGGAGGTGAGTGATATCATAATTAACAGACGTGAGACGAAAGTGCTTAGTGTGGCAATGAACACTGATTCTTTTCTCGGATAGTTCAAGATTTGTCGTAACTACAAATGACGGTTGAATTCGTACCTAAGTGTTTTCATCATGAAAATGAGTTTTTATGAGTGTTGTATAATTACATAATAGTAAGATAGTCTTGGCGAACATTTCAACGAAAAAGTATCTGGTAACAATGTTTCAAGGAGCTGTAAGCAATATACAAGGAGTTGTTGTACCCTGCTTTGAGTGACATCTGATTATTGTGCCGAACACTAATGGCTATAGACGGTACTCATCATCCTCGATGGCGCAGCTTAGCTTCTTTTTCCAAATACTTGTAAAGAGAATTGTCAAAGACACACTGACAACGAGCAGTGATTTGGTTTAAATTTAAAATAGTACCCAGGTAATTAACAGAAGAATCCGACACGGCCACGATGTCACAGCCTGCTGGAGGCATTGGCCATGCAACTGAGAGAAAGAGACCAGAATCGCCGAACACCCTAGAAGTTGTGTGCAGAGACCTGAACGGGGAGTAAAGTATTCTGCCAAAAATGCTATAGATCAAACCAGACTACAATTTATATAATACATTTATACACAATACATATTTCATAAAATACCTACGTTTGTGTACAGATCTGAGACAGTAGGTATAGTTTCTCTTGCTTCTGGTTGGTTTAATAATGGCGTTGAGGATGTTGATTTTATATTAATTTCAAATGTAGCTGAGTTAAAAACACTCAGAAAAAATAATTTCTTCAACTTGTTTTTTTGGTAACATAATGACTATATTTATAACATGCTGTGGCAAGAATGTCAACGTTTTATATTTGTTTTGTTTACCTTTGTTAAAATGTTATCTCATAGCTTTTATGAAGAAAGAAATTTCTGAGAGCTGAGTAGTACGGACACTTTAAGTAATTGCCCTTCCATTTACCGTTAAGCATAACAAAATGCCTCGAGTTCGAAGACGTCCAAATTATCACCATGTTAGCGACTTTGACACGGGTAGAATTATTGCCTATCGAGATGTTGGTTTGTCCTATCGCGATACTGGCCACCGTATTAATTGTACTGCAATAACGGTGTATGGATAGAAGAAGGTAGAGGAACACGAAGAAGGCCAGCTGGTCTTCCGAGGCGTACCACAGAGCATCAAGATAGGCGCTTCAGATGTTGGTTTGTCCTATCGCGAAATTGGCTGCCGTGTTACTTGTAATGCAATGCCGGTAATGCGTGTGTGGATACAAGAAGTTACGAGGGATGTCTTTTAAGTTTTGCATATAGAAACATAGTAGGCCGCGCGGATCGAACGTCAGTACTGAATCTTAACCTCACTCTTTAGTAAACTTAAATTCAAAGCTTCACAACAATACGTGCAGTGTTCTCACTACAGTGAATTTTTAAGTGTCACCAAGTCATAAGAAAAATGGAACTCAACCAAGAACATTTTCGCGCCATAATTTATTACAACTTTCAGAGACAATTATCGCAACAAGAATGCCTTGCTGAGTTACTGTCTGTTTTCGGCAACGAAGCGCCACATCAGTCGAAAATTTCCTGTTGGTATGGAGAATTCAAACGTGGGACGGGTGAAGATAGACATGTGACATATCGCAAGATTGAGGCGTCCTTGAAGATCTCAAAGTCCTCAATTCAAACAATTTTACATGAAGAATTAGGAGTAAGAAAATTAGTTTCTCGTTGGATACCCCACCTGTTGACTGAAGAGCAGAAAGCAGCCAGGGTTAATTCTTGTCAAAAAACGCTTGACTGTTTCAATTCCGAAAACTCAAAAAATGTGTACAGCATTGTTAGTGGTGATGAATCGTGGATTTACTGTTATGAACCAGAAAATAAACGACAGTCGGCTGTTTGGGTGTTCCAAGGTGAAGAAAAGCCAACAAAGATCATCCGTTCCCGAAGTGTTTCGAAAAAGATAGTCGCGACATTTGTGTCAAAACCGGGTCATATTGCATCAATTCCTCTTAATGAGCAAAGAACTGTTACTGCGGATTGGTATACCACCATTTGTTTGCCAAAAGTCATCACCGAGCTTCGAAAAATCAACCCCGAAAGAAGAATCATCCTCCACCAAGACAATGCAATCTCACACACAGTCCAAAAAACAGGGCAGTATTTAACGGAAGAATACGCGGAATTATTGGACCATCCTTCATATAGTCCCGATCTAAGTCCTAACGATTTCTTTAGCAGATGACCCATTCAAAAATGCCGTTTTGGATCTGCCAGCAAACGAGTGGAATAAGTGCTTCGAAAATTGGTTCGAGCGCATGCAGATGTGTATTAATCTTCGTGGAGAATACTTCGAGAAACAATAAAGTCATTTAAAACTGCCTACCGTGTTGTTTTATTCCTATAAATATGCAAAACTTAAAAGACATCCCTCGTATAGGAACACGGAGAAGACCAAATGGTCCACTGAGGCGTAACACAGAACGTCAAGATAGGCGCTTCAGACAACTAGCCATATGAGACCGTTTTACTACTACTCATCAGATCGCTGACCAATGAATTGGAGAAGGAGGTAGACCTATTGCTATGCGTACACTCTATCGCCTCATTCGAGCTTTTGGACTTTTCCTATATCTTCCACAGTTAGAGCATCTTCTGAGTGCGGACCACGGTCATCAACGTTTGAACTGGAGCAAAGAACGGCAACATTGGGAGGCAGAATGGCATAATGTCATCTTTAGTGACGAATCGCAATTCTGTCTAGGTACGCACGATGGTCGTCGAATAGTAAGACGCCGCCATGGAGAATGGCGTGATATTGGATTTGCTGTTGAGATGCATGTACACAGGACTGTTGGAGTAATGGTTTGAGGGGCTATTACCTATGGTAGCCGATCACCCCTTATCTTTATTCAAGGCAATATAGTATGACTGTTGCGCGTTATGTTGATGTCCTACAAGCCACTTTACTGCCGTATCTAGAGTGCCGTCCACACGCCCGTTTTCATCAAAACAACGCACGCCCCCATATTGCTCGTCGTACTACGGACTTTCTTCAAGAAGCAGGCGTTAATGTTTTGCCGTGTCCCATCGAACAAGTGTGTGATATGATGGGGAGGAGACTATCCACTTTGCACCATCCGCCACAGACTCTGTCACAGCTCATCCACAAAGTTCGAATTGCCACAACCAGACATCGATCATCTCATTTTGTCGATGCCTAGACGTATACGCATTCAGCTGCGGAGTCGCCCAACATATTATTAATATTTTTTTCTTATTACTTGTCAATAAAATTTCGTGAAAATGTTACCGTTTCATTCTTAATGTAAGACTTACCTCATTTCCAAACAATCAAGTTGAAGGAATTATTTTTTCTGGGTGTAAAACTGAGTATATCTTCGAACGACTATTTTGTGTTGTTCTATTTTATGATGCATTTGGAAACATTGCAAACTATGAAATTGAATAGGATACAAAATTTTTGGTAAGGCGGACACAGTAACATAATGTATAGGTACCCACCAATAGACTTGACGGTATTTTTCAAATGTCATGCATTTATGTATGAAAAAAATACTTACGTGCTTATTATAATGTTGTATGTTATTTTACAGAATAAAAGTGGATGAAACTTGGAAACTGTAATGTTTTAATGACTAATCCCTAGAACGAATACGTATTATTTAAGTTAGCATAAATAACAACTCTGTATACGTTTGCTCATAAATATAATGCAACTCGAGCACAACAGAGGGAACAAGTGTCACCGATCAGAATCCTGTTAGGAATCGTCGTTTTAGTCTCGTTTATTATATGTTAGTGTTCGGCGCAATCGTTAGATGGCCCTGTTGGTGGTGGTACCAGAAATCATAGAGGAGAGTGTTATCTGTAGTGTAGCTGATAATCTGTGGTTGTGGTTTGATTGCACCCAGCTGGTAAGAGCTAGCGCTTCGTGAAGTGTGCTGAATATCGCTCGCCATCGACTGAATTTGCTGATAACTAGCACAGCTCGGCACAACCTGTTTCACAGATGTGACTTCTATCAGACAATCTCACGGTTTTCAAAAATTTCAAAGCGATCCTTTTAGACAAAATGTAGCAGACTAGGATATGCCGTACTTCTGACAGCGCTAGTTCGTAGCAGCTATGTGCAACTGAATATAACTTATAATCTGTGGTAACTAATGATAACGTGCATTGTTACCGTGAGGATACCACGGAAACGTCTTTGGAGGCATCTGTGGATCAAACATATACTCGTATAGGGTGTTATTAATTTATCTAATGTTTTCTGACTGTTGGAAAGAAGCGTTGGGATGAATTGTATGTATCGCAACACGATATGAAGCCACATTCATAGTATGCATATGATGCATGCAATCTTAAATAAATGTTCTAATGTTAATTAATAATGTGAAATACACCCAAAAATCGCCTTAAATATTGAAATTCAATTAGGAAACACTAAATAAGCAGACAGTGGTGAGCATCCGTGTCACCAAGTAACGGCCTTATTCATATTGTTTATAAGGCGAAAATAATTGCACCATTGACCACGCGCTTCTACATGATTAGTATAAAAATAATATGGAATATATTTTAATACAATGTCAAAACAAGTATCTGGCAAGAGAATGAACCCAATATGAGGCCATTTACTTGACCGAAGGTGAAGGTCGCTAGACAGCTCATCAAAAAAGCCCAATTCTCATATAAAAATTAGTAACTATTACAAATTTTCAGAAAGCTTTTCCACTTTTGTTTCAGATTTAACCTTACGCATTTCCCAGTTAGAAATAAACTTATAAAACGACGATTTTTAATGTTTCCTTTTTTGTAATTTCAGATTAACCGTTACAACAAATTGGCCATGCAAGGCCCCCTACAACTTGTTTTGAACTACTACACCAACATTACTTAACCATTTCGAAATACGCTAAGCAATGTTTTATAAAACTAAGACGTTTACTAAAAAATTAAGATAAGAAAATTTTTTGTATCTGTCGATGAGGGGCATTATTATCAATATAATTCCTATGAAAACAGCTTATTACAAATCGGGTCGATTTTTAGCTAGTGAGCTTAGTATATGCATTTCAAGTGAAGCAAATACGATATGAATAGTTCTTAACTACGTGAAAGAGTAAAAAATTTCCAGCTATGAGCGTAATGGTGATGGTTGTATTTATCTGCATCAAAGCTTCATCGATTATTAGTTTCTATTCGATGACACAGAAGCAGACAGTCTAGAACACAATGATGCTTGATTGTGCATTTAGCACCACATTAATCAGCGGTTCCGAGTTGCGACTGTGGAGAGCGAAAAAATATTGGTCAGGCTGAACCCGGTAATAACAAAGTTAAAAATTTGAGTGACCACATGAATTTAGTCAGCAGTTCTTAGGTCTGGTTTTGCTGAACTCAATAACTACTTATTTTCAATAATGAAAACAGCATAAGGCGGTAAGTTGCCAGTCATCTGTTTTCTTTAAATAAATGTCCGGTTGTATTGAACTATCCGAAATATAGAATCTAGTGCTTGTTATATTTAAGTATAAAAAATTCTTTACAGAGCTTAAATAGACGAGCCGCGAGCCATGAGAGAAAATGTCTCTTAAAGATATGATTGATCACTTAGATATTTTAAATGTTGTTGACTGTGGTGGCATGACACTTGATCCAAAGTAGAGGGAGGCATTTCGTAATTGACCTTATCTAGGCCCGTATCGTCAGTCGTCCCTACAATTGTAGGGCAACTTTATGGATTGTCATAGTTTTCTACTTCTCCGTGTCAGCGCTCTATTTTGAGGTTATGTCACAAACATCTATTTGCATCAAATTGTGCTTGTTGAGTTATATCATGTTTTATCAGCCTGAAATTTCCTACAATTTAAAAAGAAAACATATCTTCACAATAGGGGAGCGCTGACGCTGACACGGAACAAGTGTAATCTAGAAATTTTTTAAGGAGAGAAAGGAGTATGACAATCAAGGAGGCCATAAACGCGCCCTACAATTGTAGGGACGACTGACGATACGGGCGCTAGACAAGGTCAACCATGAGTCCACATCAACATCAGTAATAAATGAGTTGACAGTTCTCTAATATGTAAGATAAATATTGCAAAATTCATGTAATCTATATTTCGAATGACGATAGAGTATTGACTATTATTGGTGTTCGTAAACATAGGGTTGTCTTATGCATTCATACAAGCGTGTGTAAGCTGAAGGAAATCTATAGACGAGCTTAAAGACGTTGAACATGGCATTTCTCGTTCAAGGTTTATCCTCACGAATTTGAATTATCTGTATATTTTATAAGATTGATTAATCCATCACCAATCTTGCTCAGAAGAGCTGACCTCGAGCTTAAGTGAGGTCCAGTTATAGAATACCCACACTCTCCCAACTTTTCGTGGCTCAGTGTCAGTCTTATGATTGATATAGTTTTAACTTTGGACTTTCATCTGGGTAATAATTGTTTCCATGAATTTCTGATACTTTCAGTGATCGTCGTTCGCGTCACATCGTCTTAATTGAGAATAGAAATCTAAATATTTTTGTTCATTTGAAAGCTATTAAGACTTGAATAACGTAGTGAAGCTGGGTATGCTTTATAGGACAAAATGGAAACGCCAGAACCAGCTGAGGCTAGAGCAGCTACGTCATCAAGCTTCAGTAGAAAAAGAATTATTAAGCTCAAGTGGCCTGCGCAAGAACTCTGGTGAAGCTGCTCCATGTTGCCCTCCCAACAACATATCGCGCTACGGTGCACAGTCTCCTTGCAGCTTTCTTACCTCAGCTGCAGCTGCCGCAGCTCTCTTCCATAACGTTACATACGTACATGGTTGCCAGTTATAGATGGACTGTTATTTATGTGATTCAAGGTGATATTATTTGAGTGAAATGAGTGGCAAAAATATGTAGATATTTGTTTTTTGTTGTTTTTATTTATTGATCAACGTGAAATGGACTATAACAAAAAATCTTGGACTTCGCAAAAAAATTGTACAGTCGTGTTCAAATCGCTATATTTTCTAAGAGCTATCATATTTCTCCAAAAAGGGCACTTCATAGTCTTCACAACTTTCAGATAGCTTAAAAGTAGTATGTTGAAGATCTCAAAACTTACATTGAACGTGTCCATACGCTATAGGTAGCGTACATTGACTCTTTCTACTGCCTTGGAGCCATCCACTATTAGTTGAATTTACTCGAAAATTGATCCGATATCATCTAGAAAATGTTTAGTAAATGTAGTAGACGATGGACGACTATACATTATTTTCATTAGATATTGAAACAGATAATACAACAAATTTTGCAATTTACTGCTAATAATCATATAGATATGGTCATAGTTTTATTTTATAAGGAGCACCATAACTTGTTAGTGCAATAAAGTAACTGAATATTGTAATAAATGTGCCGTTGGTCAAAGTGCATTAAAGTTTGAATCCTCACTATGGTACATTGGTCAGAAGTTGAACGTCACATACATCTCCAGTATACGGTTGAGGTCGACCTTGTTTCAATGTGTACGTTAGAAATAGTGCTCGCTTTCGTTGGTAAGACCATCACGTGGTTACTGTGGTCGCACACTTTCCAGGTCTGTAAATTAAGTGATGAGACTGATTTTCTTAAAAATGTTTTAGACAAATATAACTACAATTGTATATTGTCACTCTCAAAATAACTTCCTTCTGAAGCCACTCAGCGCTGGAGCTCCGATACTGCAATAACCTTCAGCTGATCGGTGGCATCCGTTTGGATATTTCCGACTGAGCCAAAATGTTCAATTGCGGTGATTTTTCATTTTTGAGAAAAGAAAAAGCCACAACGACTCAAATCAGGCGAATAAGGAGGCCGAGGAGCCACTGGAATGTTTTTACTGGCCAAGCACTCGTTTTTTGACATTGCTGTATGACAAGGAGCATTATCTTGATGCAACACTCAGCTGTTCTTGATCTGATGAACGGTAGTGGGAGTCAAATTTAACTCTTCCCCGATTATTCTGACTGTCAACTAACGAACTGAACGCGCAAGATCCCGGATTCTGTGGATATTTTCATCGGTTCTTGAAGGTGAAGGCCTTCCCCTTCGTGGTTCATCTTCAATCGACTCTTCCTTCTGAAAATGACTTAACCACCGAAAAACCTGGGCTCTTGACAAAACACTATCTCCGTAGGCATGCTGAAGTTTACCAAGAGTTTCCGTTGTACTGTGTCCAAGTCTGAAGGAAAACCTGACAGCACTGCGTTGCTCGAAATTCATGTCACTCATTCTTAGAACACAATACACAAAATGGTTTCACAAAAAAAATCGCTACGGACAACCAAACGACTCGAGCGAGTTCAATCTTGAACTGAAGGCGGATTACATCTTCCACTGTCTCCCCTCCAAGCCGGATGCATCCAGTGTTGCCAGATCTTCACACTACGTTGCCAGTCTCATCACTTAATTTACAGACCTCGTAGGTGTTGCACGCTTCTCTCACTTCTCTCTCGTACACATTGAAGTCCAGCCGACTTCCGACTTCAATCGTAAATGATTCACAGGGTATGTTTGTTAGCATAGGCGAGTACGTATTTTTGTAAATTATATAATATTATACATAAATATAACTCAATTAACATCTTTTTCAAAGCAAGACAGTTATAATATATGTACTCTAACTAGATAGTGGAGATGATTTATAAAACTCTTATAATTTAGTTACGTGTTATGTTATATTGGTACAAATATTGACAAATATATAGATAGCAACAAAGATACTTTGGTTTATGTTTGCCTCCTTTACAAAACCATGAAACCTTTACTTTAACGTGATCTCAACTGTGTTCAATAAATAACATCCTTATTAATAAAAAGTCACAAAGCATGGACAGAAATTGAAATCGAAACATTCTTGTCGCTTTACTGTAGTTTACGCCGCGTACAGACAGATTTCAACGCAAACCAAGGCACATGTGGTTACAGATTTGGAGGTATTCGAATCGGTGTGTACGGCGCCAGCCAACAAAAGCCAACGATTTTCAACGTCGGCGTTGGCGTTCCCTCGTTGATCGCGCTACATCAAAGGGAGGTTTGATTTGGTCTAGACAGGATTTTTTGCGCTTCTAGTATTTAGTCGTTTGTCTGTAGCACCGAACATAACCCAACGCGGTCCAACTCGAAACTAAATTTAGGTGAGGAGATGTAGACGAGCGCATCCGAATACCTTCCAACAACAAACGCCAACGTCACATGTGCTTGGATTCGTTTGCTTGGCGTTGGATTTTCGGTCTGTACGCGGCGTTAATATGATCACAAATAGGTATTAAAGTGTTACCTGCGACACACACACGCACGCACCCGCACACACACACACAGTATTTAATTTCCTGCGCTTCCCCAATCGTCTTTAGGTTTTGCTCGAGGGCTCCCTATGAAAATCTGGCACTAGGACTCTTCGGAGCCCAGCTACGCCAATGATGTTGCATCATTCGTGTTCTTTTGTTGCACTGAAGCAGCAAAGTAAATGCTAGGACACCGCGGCTACTATGAAGATCGAAAAGAAATGTTGTTAATCCGATTTGTGAACTGCCTAAGGATATTAGAACTGGGAAAAGCATCCTCTTGTAGATGATTTTACAATCTCGATTCACTAGTGAAAAAACAGCGCTTGTATCGGCCAGTTCTGGATGTACGAGGTTCGACACTGTTATGATGGGAGGCCGAAGTCAGGCGGGACTGCCTGGCAGGCACATCGCGCTGCGGCATCATAGACGAGAGCTCTGAGGTGCAAGGCCTGTTGGTGTAGTGGTAGAAGAGAACTAGATCGCCGACGACTCGCCGGTGCGAAAGGGTCCCGAGACTGTCTGTTAGAGATGAGTCATCGATCAGTCGGACAGCCTTCCAATCGTGTGAGCAATACTCAAGGCTATGTCTTATCTGGGCCCTGTATAGTGCCAGGAGGTCATATGGAGAACAGTACTTCTTAGCCCTAAACAAATAGTGTAATTTTTTCCCAGCAGCTTCCGCTATTGACGAGATGTGTTCGTACCAGATTAAGTCTTCGGTGATCTGGATTCCCACCAGCCGAAATGAACGGCGTTTTGGCATAACTCAGCCATCCATAGAAACCGGATGAGCGATAGGACGCTTTTGTTTGTCTGTTTCTTGGAAGGAATAAACTATACAAAACTGTTGCGTCCTCAAGCAGTGATAACCTCCAGGTCTCTCGTCAGAGAGAAAGTCTTTTTTCCAGCTCACCGGCAGAGATCGGCTTGTCGCTCTGAATTCTTACATGTAGAGTGCCAAACTGTGAATTGGATTGATCGTACAGGAAGGGGTTGATATGTAAGAGGAACAGTGATAAAGCCAAAACCGCTTCCTGGAGAACACCCGCATTGACGTTATGTGATGAAGAGGAGAACCCGTCAATCACGACGGATATCTTCCAGCAGCGTGACACAGTTGATCAAACGCTTTCGTGATAACTAGAGCAACTACATGAGCCTCACCAGAAGACTGGATGAGTTTACTTCACAATTGCGTGATGTAAGCTAGGAGGTCCCGTGTGGATCGCTGGTGCCGAAAATCATACTACCTGTCGCTAATTTAGCCGTACGTTCAAGGTAGTCCAAAAGCTTGCGATTTATGCATCTCTCCATCGCCTTACTTATACCTAACAGAAAGCAGAACTAGGTCTGTAGTTGACAGGTTCGGTCTTAGATCCCTTTTTTGGGATGGGTTCGACATAAGTAAATTTCCGCGAAGGTGCCGTATTCGTAATAGGAGGGAAGGAAGGGTCTATCTAAATGTGCAAAATATATGAGAAGTCCTGTTCAAAAGTTTTGTACTATTGCAAATTCTTATAGATTCTTCCAGAGGAAAGACTAATAATAATAATATGTTTTAGGGTTTGATGATTGGCTGTTAAGTTATTGAGCTATACAATGGTCAAAAACACTCAACTTAGACACCCCAGTTCGCCATTTTAGAAGATTGATTTTATGTTTTGTGAATGCAGAGTACTCTTCAGGGGGTTGAAAAGGAGCTATCGTATGACTCCTTATTCTATTTAGAAGATGCTCCAAAATGTCTATCCACCATGTTGATGGTTTCAATCTCGACATTCACGTCGAAATAACGTGAACCATTAAACAAATAAGTGGAGCCTTTGAAAAGCTCTGTATATTTATGTAAATCATCTAAAACCACAAAGATATTTGTTTCGTTTATTTTTCTAGTCTATCACTTAAGGGTGGCATGATATTATATAAAAAAATAGTACGGCAGCTGACAACCTGGCAAAACTAAGAGAGGTTATATAGAATGACAACAGAAGTTGCCAGATCTACACTACTGCTTTCCCTTCCGTGGCAAGCTGAGCTTTCGACAACATAGCTTGCAGATACTTGTCATATATATAGTCCTTTTCACGATTTTTATCATCATCAATGCGATATGAAATAAGTAAGCACATCGACTAACTGAACCATGTGCAGAACTGAAGCTAGCAAGAGAAAGCTAAAGAACGTGTGTCTGAGCTTATACAAACAAGAGGCAATTAGCATATGCATGTGTGAGGGAGATGGATGTATTTAAGTGATGCCGGTAGTTTTAGTGTGACCCGCCAAAAATTGTGAAATACAAACATTTTCCCAATTGCCGTTCAAATCTTTCATGTCTTCCATATCATGTCATGCCTCCCCAAATTTAAATTTTATCGGTGCCTGCTCTGCCACAAACAACTTTTCTCTTATGAGTGAGATTACCTTTCTTTCCCTTCAATACGCATTACATGGCCAATTCATCTGTGATCACTACAGCACCACTGCGAAGCTACCCTCCGGGCCTTCGTCTTTATTAATGCAGACGTGTGTCTCGCTGAGGCTGGAAGGGGGAGGTTTGTACCAATCAAAAGACATTATGCGGCACCGGTGGGGGGTAGCGTATAACGAACGCCGCAGCGGGGACAGACGATCTTATGATAATTGCTCGCTATCAACGCCATGGGGCCAACAAACTGTGCTCAAATTGGAAGGAACATAGTTCGCACAGATGAGGATGTACGAAAAAGAGGCCGGGAGGGGCGTTCGCGCGTACAACTTTGCACTTAGTTCTGACACAAACAACTGCTCACAAGTAGTTGATGCTAAAATATTACATGTTATTTAGAATTGCAAAATTTTTACTGGAATCATCTTTAGATACACCACCCTGTCAGTGCCGGATTAAGCCAGCGCGGCGTCTGTAGCAAATTATGTCAAGGGTCCCTTGGTTTGCTTTAGGTTCTCAAGTTTAGGGTATTAAATAAAACAAAGTTGTTACAAATAAACTTTTCTGGATTTAATATGGGCAAATTTAGACATAATACTTTCAATATCGACTTCTATAAGCAAATCATGCTCTATATTCAACAAAGTGAGATGATTAAGAGGTTCTTGGCCCACCGTGTTCCTTAATTCGTTTTAATGTTGAAAAAGAACGTTCGTCACTGCAGTTAGTGATCATGAGAGACAAGTAAATACGGAAGGAAATTTATAAGTTTGGAAACACGATTCTAAAGAATTATTTAATAAAAGCTTAAAAAATTGCTGTTCAAGGGGCTCCTGTTTCTTGCTGTGAATAACAGTAGCCACATCTCTGCAAACTGCACCACCTAGGTTCTCCAAAACATCTTCGTAAGCACTGACCATTCTTGAGGATTTTTCCAAAATATATTCTGTTGTAAGAGATTTTAGCTGTCAAAAAAGTTCAAAAACACTAGTAATCTTATGATATGCTTTGTAATGTAATTGTCATTATTCCCATTTCTCACTTATTCATCGTTGAAATTAGTCCGTAAGTTTGATTACGACACTCCGCTTTTTGATCTACGTTATTGCAAATAGTGATAAAACCTCATAAAAGTGCCTATAAAAGTGCTTTCGAAGCATCAGCTCGGGAGGACCACCCAGTGTCTGATAACCGTTTCAAAATGGGAATTTTTTAAGTAGAATCTTTAGGTGCGTTCGTGGAAGCCGAAAAAAATGTATAGAGGTCTTTAATGGAGTCGAAGAAAAGTTATGCTTCTGTACAGCTACTGTCACTTAAAAAACCTAGTAAACTTTGAGCGAGTTGTTCAGCAGTATGACCTTCCATGTCCAAGAACTTAACAAATCCTTCCACTGGTCCAGATGACAGAAGATAGCGCACTATCAGAGTCAGTTGGTCTACATGCGATATATCTTTAGTAGAATACAATGAAACTGAGTAAGTAGTATTTACATATCTTAATTTCGCAAATAATTTGATCCAGTATGGTTAATGCAATTAGATGAATAAATTCCTCACAAGTTGTTTTTGATAAATATGATGTATGTCCCTTTCCTTTATTAACATGATTTTATATATGTTGAGCCATAAAATCGTAAAATTGGGCTATTAATTCTAACAAGACTAAATAATTTCCATTGTGAGGTGAACCAACAATTTCATCACTACCCCGAAACGCAAGACCTCGTTCTACTAAAAACTTTATTACTGCAATGATTCGTTTTAAGAGTAGCCTCCAATACTTTTGCTCAGCCTCAAGTTGAGAAAAATTGTGCGCATTCTTCCAGTCATCTAATCCGTCTTTCGTAAACCGTGGAGACAAAATATCTGAATTCGAAACTTTGCAAACAAAACAGAAAAGTCGTCCTTTGGTTTCCGACTAACACAAGCAGTCTCTGACGTGAGTTTTATTCGTTAGTTTATGCTTAAAGGTGAAAAATGACTTATGGCAGTATCGTCGCTTATTTTCGTTTTCGTAAATTTTCTTTGAAGACAAAAAATCACTATTCATATGTTGCAGTTCTCTGCTTCTTTTTTCAATCCAATAATCTCTATCAAAGTTGCTGGGCCGTTGGAGTATATTTTACTTTCGTTTCGTTTTTGACTTGAAACTGTAGTGACATTAAAATCAAGTAATAATATGCCATCGACTACTTTTTGGTTAGAACACGACGAATCTAGATCAAGAGGACTGGCTGTGACTTTAACTTCTCTTTGGCTAGAACATGATACAGCTGAATTAGGAGGAATTGCTGTCTCTTTAACTACAGCATTACTTATAAAAAAATGTAGCTTCATCAGAAACGGTAGTAGTACCACTATCATATGTACAACGAAATGCAACTTCTGTATTATTTCTGATTTACCTTCTGTAGATTCAGCAACATTTCCCTGAACATTAAAATACTCGATCAGCTTACGTGTTTTTGATAGAACAGCTTCGTTCTTTTTCCCCTTTCATCTTTTGCTTTACGCTTAGCACTTCCAGAAGCGAAATGCCGACTTGTATCTCTAGATCTGCTGCTCATGTTACCTACGGTCAAGCAAATATTATTTTAAATTTTAAATTTAAAAAGAAATCAACTTGACAAATCCGATTCATTTGTAATATGCAAAACATACATAGTAAAATATCTGATGTTATTCTCGTTGATATTTTTACCTTTGTACATACAAAAACTCTTCTATTGTGTTTTAAAAAAGATAATTGAATGAGAGAATGAGAAAGTGCTTTTAAAAGTTGTTTACGTTGTGCCAAATAGCAATTTCTTCTTTGTTCGAGTTATGACACGCTTGATCGATGACAATGTTAGGGAATTCCCCTATTAGTTTTGCAGTGCTGCCAACTTGCTTGTAGTGCAGTCCAAGTAGTACCTATAACAGATAGTAGATTTTGCTATCAACATTTCTCGTGGTAGGTAATATACCTACACCTATAGTAATTTAAAAGAAGTTTAAAATCTAAAATATCCAAATGTGCATAGGTAGACCCGCCTAAGAGTACGCGTTCCGTAAGAGTACGCAAACGTCATTTTGGCAATCTGGCGACAGCCCAGTGTAAAACAAATAATGGTGACATGCGCCCATGTATAGTCAGGTTGCTATGGTAGATTTGTATTTCAAGTAACTTTTGTGTTATTTTAATAACGGTAAGTACATGAAAATAGCACAATTCACTGTAATTTTTCATTATAAGAATATAATCTTTGAAAAATATGTGAACTATTCAATTCCTTCGATAAATGATTTGTAGCAATGTTTTCTTAGTAAGGTATGCATCGTCACTGTTGATACATATTATTTAGAATATTGCTATGTAGTGGATCCTTTTTTGAAATCCTTATTCCGAATCTACCTACTTTTTATAGTAGTCTGTATAGGCTCTAAATTGGGATATTTTTATAGGATTTATTAAAATGGGCAAATACCAAAGAAAATCCACCAGAACACCAAAATTCACTCAAGACTTGCTGCCATTTACAAGGGTTCAGCTGCTTCGAAATTGACACTCCAGTTTTCAATATTTTTGAAAGAAATTCATTCAGTATGTTCAGAAGATAATTGCCCAGGGTGCTATGAAATTTTGTTTTTGCACAAGTTTTATGATGGGTTGAAGTGCGCACTTTTTTTGTTCAACTTAAAAAGAACCTAGTGAATAAAATGAAAAAGTGGCTCGATAGCACCCTGTGGGGTTTTGTTTTCAGCACACTATGAACATGTCATTCAAAAATGCCAAAAAATAAAGCGTCAATTTCGAAGCGCGCACACTGCTACAAATCGTATTTTGGACGAATTTTGTCTTCTCTGTTTCGTGCTGGCTACCCAAACGTTGCGGCTCAATGTACGGAGTAAGAATGGACGTATTCAGATAATTTGGTAGCCCTATTTCATATAATATCGCGTAGATAAGTCGTTCGCAAATAGGTACTCATAATCGCGATCGCTGATACTCCTCGATTTTAAAGCCGTTTTACTTCCCATGCCATTGGCGAAGAAGTATTGTAATCGCGAAAAAAATATGACATCTACATCACGAAAAACTATATCACTGATCATCAACTTCGGATTTTTATGAAATTTCCACACGCGGTTACTAGTATGCCAAAGCTTTGTAGTTTTAGTCCAGTGGCAGCAGTGGTATAGGCAAAAAAGAAAAAGTAACAATTGCTGAAACTCCGTTTTCGACGTTTCAGGGGTTCCTAATCATTGACATAAAGAAATTGTACTGCTTAAAAGGTGGGGTTTGGGGTAAGGTGATTCTAAATGTTGCATTTTTGATATCAGTGAAACACGTTCTATTATTAAGAAGCTTCTGATCCCAGTGATTATAGGAAATTTAAGTAACGAAAAACCGTCGAATAATGTGCTCACGATTTGAAAAAATCGGTACCTGCTCTCTAGGTTTGACGCCAAGAGTCAATAGATCTGCAACTGCCGACAGTAGGGGAGAATGAATTAGGATATCACACTTTAAAATTATCGGTATGTCAAGGAAATGTTTTTGAGAATGATAATTTGGAAGATTTTATACCTGCATTTTCATTTGAATTTCATGAACCGTGAAATGTACCCATTTCGCCGTTATCTTCAATTTATGTTCTGCAGTTTGTGATGTTATTCTGGATATAAGCAGAGGACATAATTGCCTAGGCTGCTATCAGAGGTTTTTACAAAATTTTGTCTGTTTGCTCAACTTCTTGATATTTTAAAAAGATCCTAGTGGATAAAATCGAAAAAGTGGATCGTTAGCACCCTGTGGACTTTGTTTTTAGCACGCTGCAAGAGTTTCATTAATAAAAAATGAAACGTAAGCTGTGAAGTGCAAATCGGTTTTTGGGCAAAATTCGTCTAGTGTTTCGTCCTGCCAGTCCAAGCGACGCGACGGTGCGTTCCGACTAAGAAAAAATGTATTCAAATAAATTGATATCTTTCCTAAAATAAATTCAATAACTCAAATTCAAATTCGTTTATTCATGTCAATAAACACAATTATATTTACAAGGGTCATGTGATACATGGTAACAATTGAACGAGGGTCATAAAAATATCTTATGCGGTCAAAATAACAAGAAACAGTTAGGTAGTTATTGCAAAGCAATAAACAGGTAGGCTTATACTTGGATTAAGTACATTTCTTGTCTACTGTAATAGGTAGATGGAGGCGATGCTGCCAGAAATGGATGTGTGCGATCAATAAACAAACCACAAAAATGAACTGCGGTGTCCAATGATTTTTGTTTTTTGTATTGCTTTTTTTTATTGCCTTACTAAAAGACTCTGTTGGGTATATGGTGGAGTTTTCTAGAACTTAACAGCTTGTTGTCTGCCTTTTTCTACAATCTTCACCAAATCGAGACGCTGTCAACCTTATCCTCCGATCAAGGTGTCACAAAGTACAGTCCTGTAATTTGGTGACTTGTTCGATCTGCAAAATCTCGTCGTCACTTTTTTAAGTTTCCCTAAAAATTCTTGCTTAGCAACCTCCAAATAAATGTCTTTCATGTCAGGTTTTTGACAGAATTCGCCATAAAACTATTCATTTTCTTTGGAATTGCTATCCGAATTGTTAGTTATTTTTATATCGGCTTTTTTTGGTCTGAGTTTCTTTTCAAGATTCTCGCGTTTGATTCTTTGTTTCATCTTATCGATAAGCGAGGTTGGACTAAGCTTAGAACGCAAATGTGTTTGGACCACATAGACAGGCCGCTGGGTATTGTGGCTCACTACAGCTGCAGCACCTCTTCCATGGTATGACCTCTTCTTGTAATAATTTATTCGCTTACCCCAATATATTTTGTGATTATAGAGTTGAACTGTTCCACACTATTGTTGTCCTCATCATGAATTAAACTAACTGCATTCGTAATTAAAAGGGTCGCATATGACCTTTTATTGTCCATTATCAACCTTGATAAAGAAAAGCACTCGAGAACAATCACACCAACACGAGTACAGCACAAAAATTCAACAACACAATATCGGCGAACAGTAACAAGGGTAGAACAATACTAAATGGTCACTTGTTGAGTACCAAAATAGGAAACCATTTAATGGGCTAGATCGCTAATCGAAATCCGTTATTATAAAAATTTACCTCGGTACTCACTCGCAGTCATCCTTTTAAAGTAGCGCCGACGACCGTCTAAGGCCAGCGCATCCTCGTTTTCTTTTCAACCCACCGTTACCTCAGCAGATGTGCTCGTGATTGTAGGAGCCCCGTTAAGGATGAAAGATGTCATATCGCTAGCTTTCCAACACAGGTTTAACAAGGAAAAAAATGGCGGGGTAACATTTTGTAAAATATTTCCCCGAGAGAAATAGCTTGTCTCTTAGAACACCTGAAAAATGCAGTTTGGCAAGGGCAATTGGTTTTAATACGCCACAGTGTCAAAGGTCTTTTTGACAACCTTAAAGAATGTTGTGACAGACTGAAAGTGCCTCCTCAAAGAATATTCATTATGGACGAAACTGGGCCATATTTCAGCGGAAGTCAGAAATATGGCCCAAGTAACACATTTTTGTTTTTGCTATGTTTTTCCCATGTTTCTGATTTTTTTGATGTTTTTGGATAAAATTTTATTTCCTTGATAGTTCTTCTACACGTTGCGAATAAAAATATTTTTTTAGTTGTTGGTGTTTATTTTTTTATTGCTCTCGGACTGAAACTGGGCCATATTGCGCGACTGTACCTTATTACATTTTTTAAATAATTTCCAAGTAGTTCCGTTTTATTACGCAATCAAAATTAAGTGCGTACTCTTACGCGGGTCTACCCTTCACCACTTATCTTATAGTAAAGATATTCAAGGAAATTAAATAATATCGACGAACACATAAAATGTGTAATTTTTAATTGAATAACTTTTTGTTTATAATTTGAATCGTTCATTTTCAAATTACCCTCCTTTTTACCGACACTAGCTTTCCATAATCTCGAAACATGATCGATATGATAATCGATTCAAAAAATGTCAGCTATATTCACTCATAAAATGAATCTATATTTTACAATAAATCAACCAACCACAGTAGATTGGATCGTGACTGAGTTAATAAAATTTAAATAGTTCACCTGTTTTCTCGAAATACTTATAAACGATATTATATTAAAATCGATTAAAAAAGTACAATCTCGGCTACGTAAACTCGCAAAATAAATGTGGTATAGATGCTAATCTAAATATATCGATGATAATTAAACATCAGAACATTAACGTTGAATAGTTCGTTTAATTCCTACTGATTTTTACGATTTAACGTGACGAAATCGAGTTTTAGATTTTTAAGTGGAAGTGAAGCATGGCTTCGCGTTTAAGGCATGCAAGATATTTTACGCTGATATCTAAATTAATATTTTTTTTTACGGTCAGACAGGATTTGGAGCGCGGTGTCCACAAATTCGCGGGGCCCGTAGCATTTGTTACTCTTGCTAGGTGGCTTATCCGGCACTGCACCCTGTAAAGCCGTAAAAAATGAATGGAACTATTTTATTTTCAGATATGGAAAGGTTCCGATATATTTCACTATGTCCATTTAAGCCCGCCACACACTGTAGATAATACACCATATACTACTCACTGATTCCTAGCTTGTCTCGAAACAGTAATAGTGCTCTGGTTATGCAAAGTCGCAGGCATCAAGAGAACCAACCTAGAGAGCGGCTAGCACCAGCCAACTGCAAAGACACGTTCGCGGAGTCGCCAAATTGCTTAATTTGCATGCTGATGGCTGCCTCTGAGAGGGGTCGCTTAGTGCGCAGTCACGAAAGTTGAATAAATAAATAAATTTGCAAATAAATGCGAGAGTAGGATCGTTTCCTCCTTGACTTGATTGTGACTCTTTATGAGAAAAGGACAAGTAAGCACTCCTTCTCTTCGGCTTCGCAATTATATACCAACTGGTCGTCGGTATCGAATGTTAATGAAATTTATTCCTAATATTTTAGGGACCGTTCTCACCGAAAGCAACTAGCAAACCGTAACCTAACTCGGCACATGAATCCATTTGGATACATGTATATTCAAAAGCTTCCACACCATAGAGACGAAAACTCCACCAACCTACGATTTCTGTTATGTCACTTGACGAATAGTGAAATTACGCCCTGGCGTTTCTAAAAGCATACTGAGTTCATCTATTGATAATGATTACTTAAGACTCGGCATTGATCATTTTGAGGGTAACATCTAGGGCTAGGCTAGATAATCAGTTATAAAACTAAGCTCTAAGCCTTAAGAAATGAAATTATCAGAGAGATATTCACGGACAAACATAACTATACACTTTATCATCAACTAACTAAATGGATGATTAGGTACATCTTTATCATTAATCAAGATATGTTCACAAAATATTATCGGAGAAATATACTAAGTGACATATAAATCCGAACACCCAGTTTAAATCGTTTTATTTAGTTGGTGAATGTACCGGGTGGTCCATCTATCGTTTTTTTTTTTTGAGTTACTGGTTTTTTGGGATATGTCAACACTTATTTCGCATCTGATTTGACAGAACATCAGTCATATCATTCCGATTAACGAAAATGGTTGTGTATTCGCTTGAACAACGCTGGGAAATATTAAAACAATATTTCGAAAGTGGTGGTAATGTTGCAGATTGTGTCCGAAAATTACGTGCAAAAATGGGAAGAAATGAACCACCGTCAGCACCGTATGTGAGGTATTTTGTGCAAAAAGTTCGTGAAACTGGTCTTCTTATTGACAAACCAACACGTGAAAGACCGAAAACGGTGCGTACACCCGAGAATATCGATGCTGTAGCTGAGAGTGTGGCAGAGTCTCCAAGCACATCAACGCGCCAACGTTCTCAACAATTGAACATTTCACGCACATCATTAGGTCGAATTTTGCATAAAGACCTTGGTATGAAGGCGTACAAAGTTCAATTGGTTCAGCAATTGAAGCCAACTGACCATCCAATGCGTTTTCGCTTCGCTTCATGGGCCTGCAATCAACTTGATGAAGATGTTGATTTTGGTCGAAAAATCATCTTTTCAGATGAAGCGCATTTTTATCTTGGCGGCTATGTTAATAAGCAAAACTGCCGCATTTGGGGTTCAGAGAACCCACACGCAATCGAAGAAAAGCCAATGCATCCAGAACGAGTGACTGTTTGGTGCGGATTTTGGGCTGGTGGCATCATTGGCCCATTTTTCTTTGAAAATGAAGCCGGAGCAGCAGTTACTGTGAATGGTGAGCGTTACCGTACCATGATAAATGAATTTTTCTTTCCACAAATTCAAGATATTGATGTCGGTAACATCTGGTTTCAACAAGACGGTGCTCCGTGTCACACAGCAAACGCTACGATTGCTCTTCTGCGAAGTGTTTTCGGTGATCGCATTATCAGCCGAAATTCTGATGTTGTTTGGCCGCCTCGGAGCTGTGATTTGACCCCATTAGATTATTATTTATGGGGTGCCATTAAAGACCAATGTTATGCCAACAAACCAGCAACAATTGGCGAAATAAAAGAGAACATACGCGCTGCCATTGCTGAAATACAGCCACATACGATTGAAAATGTGGTCAAAAATTGGACTGACCGTATGGGCTACTGCAAAGCCAGCCGCGGCAGTCATTTAAATGAAGTTGTATTCCATACTTAATCGGAAGGATTGTACTTTCAAATAAAAAAAAAATTTGGAAAAATATTTAGTAGTTTTTTTATAGCATTTTTTAAAAAAAAATTTAAAAGGACCACCCTTTATTTATCTTACTGTAAATAACAAGTAAAAAAATTTTCAGCCTTATCAGTTGGACATTCCGGTTTTTATACTGCTTTTTCTGATTCACTAACGCTCTAAAAATGAATATTTCAGCCACAGTAAAGAATCGACGTTGGCGGATTTTGGTTCTTGACATCCTTTACGATCGGTTACGATGCCTAGAGTACGGAGACCTGTACGATTTCGTCAACTTAGTGAGTTTGATAGGGGCCGTATAGTGGGACTTCGGGAAGCTGGACTTTCTTTTCGGGCAATGCAGTTAGAGTGCAAAGAAGTGTAGACACTGTGGTTAGGTGTTGTCAGGCATGGCTTCGAGAACGCCGTACGCAAAGAGCAAGGGGCACTGGACGCCGCCGTAGAACAACAGACCGTGAAGATCGCCGCCTAAGATTATTGGCCTTAAGGGACCGTTTCTCCACTACCAGGTCCATTGCAAATGAATGGTTTGCAGAACACGGAAGACCTATTGGCATGCGAAGTGTTTACCGACGAATGAGAAGTTTTGGCTTGTTTTCATACCGGCCACACTGGGTCCTCCCTTTAACTCGAGAACACCGACGTAATCGCCTTGAGTGGTGCAGACAACGGTCACTCTGGGATCAGGAATGGAACAGTATTGCCTTTAGTGACGAGTCTCGATTTTGTTTAGGCATGCACGATGGTCGTGCCAGGGTTAGAAGGCGACGTGGTGAAAGGAGGAATCCACAGTTTTCTGTTGAAAGACATGTTCATCACACTGTTGGAGTTATGGTTTGGGGTGCTATAGCTTATGGTTCCAGGTCACCTTTAATCTTCGTCAGAGGTAACATGAACGCGCAGCACGAGTCACAATAGACTTCTTTCAACATAATGATGTCACATTGTTACCATGGCCACCAAGATCTCCCGACTTATCCCCAATTGAGCACGTGTGGGATATGATGGGTAGGAGATTGCTCAATTTGCACCGTCCTCCTCAGACTCTAGAAGCACTTAGAGAGGAGTTGGTGGTTGCCTGGAATGAGATACCACAGGAGGATATTGACCACCTGATCAGAAGCATGCCTAGGCGCGTTGGAGAATGCGTAGCACGTCAGGGTGCATCCACACATTATTAAAGGTCAAAGGGCTTTAAAGCAGTGCAATCATTTTGAAATTTTTATCATTTACTTATTACGCTTCATTAAGTACTTATGCAAAATTTTATTAAAATAAAACCATTTAAACTGGGTGTTCGGATTTATATGTCACTTAGTATAGATTACGTTATTTAGTACAAGAACTACTAAGATTAAATAAGTAAATAGAGAAAAAAAGTGACAAAGTGGAAGTCGCAACTACCCTCTAAACATATGGTCACACTTGAAGAAATATAAATACCGCACAGGTATTATGTAAAAAACGTCAAAAAAGACCTATGCTATCTTGCAGACTAGGTAGTTTTTAGGGCGCAAACATTCATTCCACGTTTGCTTACTAGGATTGTTTTGAACGTCCATCTATGGAGGAACCACTCAACTCAACTACACGCATTGTTGGTTGCATACGTTTTGTGAGGCCGCGTGGTCTGTATTTTTTATTTCTGACAAGAAAGTTGGTTGAATAGCAAGATCGCATCTGGATGATTATGTGTATTGGTCTTCATGCGTATAAAATCAGTGATATTTGCTGTGTAAGAAAATCATTACTGAATATACTGTCAGTGAAGTATATCTATTAGCTATGCCCGATTGGTTATTTATAAGTTGTCCTATCTGAAGACAGGTTATGCTCAAAGTTATAAATTACGAAAAACTTTGAGGAGAATTACGGGAAATCATCACCGCGCCCGCGTTGTGTGTCATTTTTGTTAACATATAGGTATATGGCTTGTAATTTGACAGTGTACAGTGAATATAATTTATCTTATCTCTCTAATTTTTTAAATTCAGCAAATTTGCGTATGTAATTTCAAGAAAAGAAAAAGTGGATGAGCAACTAATTTCTAGCTTTGAATCTCAATTAAGTGTATTTGAGACAATCCAATGGATCTATCATCAACACATATAACTTACAGCTCGGAGATCCAGTAATGCCATCTCTGAAGCAGATTTTACATCAGATCAGAACCAAACATTGATAACTGAAGCCTGATGACGTTTAGGCAACACGTACAACTAAGTGCTAAGTTAACATCTTGTGGAAAAACCTACATAATGTCAAAAAAAAACAATATAATGTCAAAAGAAATCGATATAACGTCACTTTTCAAGATACGAAATACCCGTTTCACAGATGCCACTAAAAGTGTAAGATACTTAAAAAAGTTGATGGATTTTACGTTAAGGATGGTTCCTGGAAGGTTATGCTATCCTATGTCAACTCTAGCAACTAAAATATTGGATTAGTAAAAATTATTGATCGTGGGACACACTGCGTATGCAACATGAAAGTTACGTGTAAAGTGGAAGAAGTGCATTACTAAGGCATACGTCAGTACAAAGCATATTTACGTTTTATTTTTAATAGTGAACCTTGAAGACGGCATAAATGCGGCGCCTATGGCTGGTATTATATTTTAGCATAAAAGTGGAAACTGAAGAAATAGTTCTATTCTGTAACACAAACAGGCACATTTTTTGGAAATAATGTCAAAAGTTATCAGTTTTTTATCTCCCTTATCAAGAAAATTGTCACCGGCATCGCCAAAAAGTGATACGAAATTTAACAGAGTAATAAATCATGGAAAGGACAGGTAAGCTATTAGTTTATATTCATGACTGGTTAACCTGTCTCATTGTTCCGTCTTGCTTCCGTACAGACGACGAAAACTAAATTCCGCTTCCGTCACTAACAGTGGGATGGATCTCTAGTACCGGAACATGAATTTTGTCCAAAAATCTCCTGTAGGTACGTCTTGACCTTGCAACTCATATCCAGTACCTCGTCCAATGCACTTTAGTTCGAGAAACATTGTCGAATGAAGAGCTCCATAATGATTTGATGACGTACAAAAATACTCTTTTTTCGGACTCGTGACGTGAGGTATCTGCTTTATTTTGATAAGTTTCAGGTCAGATAGATTTTTCATATTGCTTTTATAAATGTATTTATTTGTGTTCTGTTGAGTTTCTTTGCAGTTAATTTTGAAAAAATACCTCCCTCCTCCCTTTCTGCTGGGTCAATGATGGCCAAACCTTTTGTTATTTGGGATGGTGTGTCATGTGATACCTCATACTGAATTTCCTTCCTTACCAGGATTCGATAACTCTAGAATATGAAAATTTATTATACGAAAGGGTCTATTTTAGAAGACCACACACAACCCTATAGCAGTTGTTTTGCATTCTGTGGATTTTACATCGATTCATCGAGTCAAGACAAGGATAATATAAAATTAAAACATTATCAAACTTTGGTCTAGCTGTTTACGCGTTTTACAATTCAAAAATCAAGCATACAGTCTTAATTTGATGTAGGTGCATCTTCGATAGATGACATATTTGTCGGAGATGACACCAAGATTTTTCATTTGTTGCACAATAGGAATCAGCTCATTGTTGATGATCAATACAATCCTGTCCGTTACTCTATTATACAAGTGCTTAGAACTAAAAAGCATGCACGTACTCTTGCCAGGATTAATCTTCAACATGTGTTTCTTAGAAAGATCGGTTACATTGGCAAGATCGTAATTTAATGTATATGACGCTTCATCCTGATGAGACAAGTCAAGATGAAACGAAAGATGCGTATCATCCGCATAAGTTTGTATAGCACAATACATGAATGTCAATCAAAAGTATATATTAAATATAGCAAAGAACCTGAAATAGACCTCTGAATCACACCTGAAGAAACATCGACAAAAAAGAGACACCTCATATCCCCCCATATCGCCACAGGACACATAATTCTGATGGATCCGTCATCGCCAGGTAGACAGAGCCGTATTTTGTTTTAGTTTTTTGTACGCAACAGATTCATTTTGTACTTACTAACAGCTCTTTTATTTAGACAGGCTAACATAAAAATGTCACTTGCTGATCAGTTGTTCACCTTACTAGACGTCAAAGCGTGAGGGATATTCGTAAAATAGGGTATAGGAACGACTGACGATGCGGCCCTCAGTAAGAAAATTAAGAGGGATGCCAGAAAGTCCTCTAACTTACTCAACAAATTGTGTCACTAACCGTGTCGAACGCCTATTTAAGATATTTTTTGTCAAATGGAGTAGTGAAGAAGTTGTACTGTGCCCAGCACGAAACACAGACAGATGGACAGCGAGTAAATTGTTCATCTCTTAGTATTCAAATTCTAATTTCTTTGAACCGGAGCATCGTATGCTGACGGGTCGTAAATGTTCAAGGGTTACCAGATTTTTTATTTTGGCTAGAGGAAGGATTATTGCTCCTTTCCAGACATCAAGAATCCTCCAAGTTTGCAGTTATATATTAACAATATGTGTTAGATACTTGAGCACTTCAGGTAAACAAAGACCAAACATGTCCGCACCAATGCCGGAACAGCCTATTGCAGTCGACTTTATAGAGACAGCAATATTTAGGATTCTTTTAGCACTTACCGGTCTACACAAATAGTGTTAAGTTAGGATTATATATATTCTGTTGATAAAATTCAGATGTATCATCAATTAATCGGTAATTTGTATTTTGATTTTTTTTTAAAAAGCGGCCCTAACTATCTTGGATTCTAATAAATATAATGGAAGTTTAGTATGCTTATCGGGACAAACGTCCATCATCCTAAGTTGATCCCAGGCTTTCTTATAACTTAATTAATCAAACCGAGACAGCTAGGCTTTTTTTCGCGTCTAAGAGAGACAAGTGCAAAATTCCTCATATTTTATAAATTTGCCAATTCAATCGGGTCAAGGGTTCTGGTGAAATGTAGCTAATGGGGAAGGTTTCTTTGTGACGCACTATCTAATACCCTTAAATATAGGTAATGACCATGCACAAGACAACTGAAAATAACAATTTTCCAACAATGGCTGTAGACTTGAGGAAGCAGTGGACTCAAAGTCGAAACCAAATTAGTCATTCAAAACTTGTTATACGCATAGCGTATGTCTACCGTTCAAGTTGCATAAATGGGCCACCCGTTACTAAAAAGTTTGTCTCAATCTAATATTAGGTGCGCTATTTGCATAACATGTCTAAGAAATTATGTGATTTAACGAAACACAAATGGCAAAAGAATATGGAAAATAATATGCAGCCTCAATCAAACCTAGAACTTATTAGAACAGAGACGACACGCCAAGTCATAAGTTCGTAATGTTTAAACGGATGTAATGTAATAGGGAAACCGAGATATTATTTTCATGATTTTCCCCGTCTATGACCTTGGATCTGACCTTAGTCATTACCTTCAAGGTCGTCTGAAGGTCAACACTTTTTTAATGAGACGCTATATTAATGACCGCGGAAATGGAGAAAATTTTTTGGAACTTGATCTTGGAGTTGACCATTAAGGTCAAACAAGTTTACCTTAGTTTCTTGATAATTCAGAAAACTGTGTAATCCCCAGATAAACTAACTTCCCTAGTTTTTCAGGATTGTTCCCTGGCGACCAAAATCGACTTTACCTTCACATGACCTTGAATGCCACCATGGTTAAGGTCAGATCCATGGTCAGCATTGTTTATCTGGGAAAAATCATGAAAATAGCATCTGTGTAGTTTCCTTATGCGACTACTGGTTTTCAAGTTATCTCAAGTAGCTCACGTATATTGCCTCAATATGGGAACAATATTACGGATACATTGACTCAAGGTAATTTTCCAATATTGGTGCAAGAAAAAATGTGGACATTTGAGCACATTGGTACAATATTGATTTGCAATATTAAACTAATATGGTATTTCTTTTTGGCTCAATGTTACAATTCAATGTTGGTTGCATGGCAATTTGTACATTGCCCCAATCAATTATGACAATAATGTTTCAATGTTTATTTACATTGCAGTGCTTGTTTTTATATTGACTCAAGCCAGTACATCTATTCTTTGCTGACTCAATATTAAAATCCAATATTGGCTACAAGACATACTCTTATTTCGTATATTGTCACAACCAATTATAAAAAACATTGTAGGTCTCCATTGTCTGGCCGGATCAAATCACATATAAGTACAGTGGAGTCGCGATTAAGTGAACTTTTTCTGGCAAAGCTATTTTACTATATCGGGGGTGTTCACTCTTGCGAGGTGTAATATTAAAGGCATATATTCAACAAAATAAATAGTATATATTCTGCAAAAAATGATAGTACCATTGTACTCAAATGACCCAAATGAATACCAAAAATGTGTGTTTATACAAAAATACGAAGAAAATATTTAAAACATAAAATTTTTATGGACCTTGTGCGAAAAATGACGTTATTTCTGGATGTTTAAACTTTCTCTTCAAGTTGATTTCTACTATTTTAACACGTTTTTATTCGCTTGGCCTGTATGTATGTAACGGCATCTTTGAGCATAATTTTCACCAATTTCCAGAAGTTTGATTAAATTTAAACTTCGCACACATATCAAAGACCGATGACAATGCAATAATTTGATGACAGTTTTCCATTATCCTGATTAGGACCGCCAGGATTGATAAATTCCTTTATACAGTTCGAGTCACATAACTTTTAATGCACGTCATAGGCTTCAAATCACCAGTGATTCTCAGCATTCGTCATCTTTCTCATTCTCTCTGCATAGCATGTAAGTTGAGAGTGACAGAAAAATTACGTATTGAGGTAAGTCGGAGATCCTAATCCGGTGTTGCCAAGAGCAGTACAATTTTAATTTTAATGTGCATCATCTGCCATTAATTGCCAAATTTTTGCATCCGGAGAAATTTTTATATTTTGGCAAGAAAGAAGGCAATAACATTATGGAAGCTGAACCCGAGGGGTCCTCAGGCGACCCCTCTACTGCTTTGAGTGGAGTTGGCGCGGAGTGCAGCGCTACTTTGGAACATATTCCAGAAAACCAAAACGATATGACGCCAATGATGACATCAGGGATGACACCGATACTGGAGAAGGAAAACGAGAACCAGAGACTTTTGAAGATAATTGCAGACCAAGCAGCCCAGATTCAGAGACTGACTGACTGTGTGGAATCACTTAATGCCCAGGTTTTTAAGCTTACAAGTATCATTCATAAAACAGTTCCCAATGTTGATTCTTCCAAAACAGCAAAACGTAGACATTACAGCCATTCGAGTGACCTACATACTGAGACCGATGAGGACACACAGGGTGATCTTTTCACACCTGTGCGACGTCGCAAAGTGAGACTGCGCAACACAGAATTTCCTCCGCTACCGACGAAATTCCCAAACAACAAACATTCAGGCAACCTGTGTATGTACCCTCTACCGCTTCTACTAGTTAGCCAAGGGAAAGACCTTTATCAGCATCCACACATAGTGCTCCTCCTGTTATAACCCAAGTGCAGTCTGATCCATTGGCTGGCTGCAACTCATCTTCCTTACCATCCAGCGGATCTCTAAACACTCAGGCCCAATCGCCTCGCCAGGTGCGTATTACTCCAATAGTGTTGAGAGATGCGACAAAATGGCGCACCTTAAACTATTCCTTTGTAAGTCTTGGTATTCGTATTGAACGAGCAGTCGCCGTTGACGCTGGGATACGTATCATCTCCAAAACCGAAGGCGATTATCGCAGGATAATCCGTCTTTTCAAAGAGGAAAACATTCCTCATCACACTTTCCCTTTGCCCACTGAACGCAACATCCATGCGGTTATCAGAGGTATTCCAGCATCAATAACCGAACAGGAGGTCAAAGGTGAGCTAGAACAGAAGGGTTACGCTCCCTTTCTCATCATTCGCCTAAAGCGCAACGGCGGAGTGCCCATGCCCTTGGTGGTGGTGATCCTGCCTAAGACGGAGAAGTCCCAGCAAGTGTTCAACGAGCATGAATTGCTGGGGCTCTCTATCAGAGTCGAAGTTTAGAAGAACTCTCGACTCAATGGGCAGTGGCACCGCTGCCAGAAGTATGGACACGCACAGTCGTAATGCACTGCGCCGCACATATGTGCCCTCAAACAGGACATGAGGTTCGCAGATGTGCGAATTGTGGGGGGGACCATCCGGCAAATAGTCCGACCTGTACATTTACTCTTACGAGAAATCTACAAGTCATCGCACAAAGGCGAGCAAAGTCCTACGCGGACGCAGCAAGAGATGACACCTCAACTGCCCCTGCTGTTTCGAGCTCATCTACGACTACTCAAAATGTGGACCTAGCAACAGCGCTCAGGTCCCTACAGCAGATTATTAGTCCCCTGATAAGCGCTACTAAGGCATTGCAGGCGATCTTTCCGCTAAATGGCTAGGTACAATAACAGCCTGAATTCATCAAAATTCTTTTCTGGAATTGTTTGGGTCTTAGGGATGTCCCCAAAAAACGGGAATTTCATCAAGCTCTTTTGGATGAGAACGTAGATGTAGCTCTGCTGCAGGAAACATTACTTAATCCGGGAGATAATCTAGCTTTCCCGAACTATGATGTTATCCGCGCTGATAGATTAACTGGACGGGGTGGCGGTTTGGCAGTGCTGGTAAAACGTGGTATTGACTAATACAGAAGCACAAACGTTGAGATGCAGAGCATCGAGACAACTTCCGTGGTAGTGAATATGACGGGAGGTATCTCGTTGAAAATCACATCGGTTTATGTCAGATGTGGTGCCAGGCTGCAAGAGACGGATCTGGAAGTCCTGTTTGACTGCTCGGGTCCGCTTATTGTAGCAGGGGACTTTAACTGTAAACACTATTCGTCATTTATTTGTTTGGGCGGTCAGTAGGACCTTTGCCCATTAGTCACTGTCTGATGTACGTTAGTCGAATCTGTCAGTCCTGGTTGCCCAGAAACCAGACAAAGTCAAGAAAAAAGAGAAAGGGGAAGAGAAGAAAAAAGGAGAAGAACAAAGAAAAACAGATATGCTTAGTTTAAGAGGAAACACCTAGGCTTTTTGACTTGGTACACGGATTAATTTTGAGGTGAACTAAACAAATTTTTTTTGTTTGATTCGGTTTTGTTAGAGTGTAATTTTGAGTTTACTAAAGATTCACGATAACTTTTGATTACAGTGCGAGCCGTGGCCTTGAATGTTTACGAACTTGCTCCACTGTGTAGTCCACTGAGTCACGCAACAGAGGGTTGCTGTGCGATTCCGCTTGACTATAACGTCGCTGCGCCTGAAGCTTGATATAATCCCTCAAGTAAGGAATGTCAAGGTCTCTGTGTAGTGTCTCATTTGAGACACACCATGGAGCGTTGCAAATTGTCCTCAAAGTTCTGCTTTGCAGTACTTGAAGACTTTGCATGTGTGTCTTGGCAAGAAAACACCAAGCCGCACATGCATAAGTAATGGCTGGTCTAATAATCATTTTATATAGTCGAACTTTGTTTATCAAACTCAATTTGGAGGATCTACATAACAAAGGATATAGTTGCCGAAACGCAATTTGAAATTTTGTTTTTATGGATGCTGTATGTTTCTGCCAGGTCATGCCTTTATCAAGGGTGACACCGAGATACTTGGCAGAATTTGTCCATGGTACACGATTTCCGACTACAGAAACCTCTGCTGGGGGGCCGCGACGTTTTTTGGTACAATAAATAGCCTGCGTTTTCGAATGATTAATTTTTATCAGCCACCGTTCCGCCCACTCTAGAACTTCGTCCACCGCATTCTGCTACCCATCGTGAACCAGATCACCAGTACACGACTGGGCGACAAGTGCAGTGTCGTCAGCATAGAGGTAGACTTCACACTTGCTGGGGGAAGGGACGTCATGGATGAAAAGCGAATAAAGAATTGGTCCTAGGACCGAACCCTGAGGAACTCCGGCCCGTACTGGCCGTGATGTTGACAAAACATTGTTAATTTTGATCCGAAACTTCCTTCCTTCAAGAAAGGATTTCAGTAATTTTAGAAGCCAAAAAGGAAAACCCTTTTGGATTAGTTTATAGAGGAGGCCCGCGTGCCACACCTTGTCAAAGGCTTTTGAGACATCCAAAAGCAAGATGCCAGTACTCATGCTGCGGGTGAACCCTCTGGTTACATGCTCCACCAGCCTGACTGCCTGTAGCTCGGTGCTATGCTCGGACCGAAAACCGAATTGGACGTCAGGAATCACATGGTGATTTGACGAAAAATTCTCAAGGTGACGATAAATCACCTTTTCGGCGAGCTTAGAAGGAGCTGACAGCAGACTTATGGGACGGTAATCCTGAGGAAATATCGAACCCATCTTCTTTGGAATCATGATGACCTCAGCAGTCTTCCACCCAGCAGGGAAGTACTGGATTTTGAGCGTCGCATTGATTATTGTCACCAAGTATGTCAGGGCTTTCGGCGAGAGCAGCTTCAACGCCTTGTTGGTTAACTGTAAACATCGAGCATGGCACTCTAGGTTAAATTCCACCAGTGATATTCGACCTTACAACCATGTGATACGAAACGGCTACCTCATACACAGCACTGAGGAGCCGGCTCACCACCCATTTAATCACCTTCAGGCACCAGATGTCATTGACTTCGCGATATCTAGAAACTGCAGATTAATGTCACTTCTAGAATCATGTATGACAATTCGAGCGATCATCTTCCTATCGTACTGGAAGTGGGTAATGAGCAAACCTTGGAAGGGGAAACTCTTCCAAGGAAAAGGGTTGAATGGGAGCTATACAAGTCGCTCCTTAGAGAGTTCCCCAATATCCCGGTCATAGATGATGAGAACGATATAGATGCTGCTCAAGCGGAGTGAACAAGTTCCGTTCAGCAAGCTCTGCAGCGTGCAGATGTACTACCAGTACGACGACACGGCAGACCTTTTCTTCCTGCAGACATACGTCAGAAAATTTCTGACAAAAGAGCTGCAGTTAAGCAAGCGAAGAGATCTTGTCACCCAGATGACATTCACAGAGCAACTAATCTTGTTCATGAAGTGAGAAATGCTCTTCATGAATTCCGTAATAAGCAATGGAGCGACTTTCTGTCGGGGATGCTTGACTCAAGTATTCCTCTCTGGAAAGTTGCAAAGTCGCTTAGAAACGGAAAGCGAGAACAACTCCCGCACATCCACGGTCCTAGGGGCTTAGTCTGTAGGACAGAGGAAAAGGTCGAGGTTTTCGCTGATGCCATGGAAAGTCAGTTCTCTCCCAACTATGACCTTGATAATGACCTCGACGAGGAACAACATATTGTAAGATGCGTCAGGAGATATTTTAGCACACTAAATTCCAAATCTCGTTTCGGCAACTCTACCCTATGCTATGTAGAACATCAAAATTAAGTTTGATCAACAGTTCGGCTATATAAGATGGTTATCAGACCAGCGATCACTTATGCAAGTGCGGCTTGGTGATTTCTCGCCAAAACGCATTTGCGTAGCCTGCAGGTTTTGCAGAACAGAACCTTGCGTACAATCACTAACGCCCCATGATATGTTTCCAACGAGACCCTTCACAGAGACCTTGACATCCCTTACCCAAAGGACTACATCAAACAACAAGCGCAGCTACGTTACAGTCAAGCAGAATCGCATAACAACACTTTGTTGCGCGAGTCAGTAGACTACACAGTCGAGCAAGTTCGCAAGCACACAAGGCCGCGACTCGCACTGTGAACAAAAATAAATCGTGCGACTTTAGGTCCAACCAAAATTATAATTTTTCTTCAACAACCAATCCCAAAATTAATTTTAGGATCAATTTAAAATTGCCGAATACTAACTAACAAGGCACCCCTCAAATTGATGCACTTCTTTTTTCTTTGCTCTCCCTCCTTCCTTCCTTCCTTTCTTCTTCCCTTCTTTCTCACCGACTTTGTTTGGTATCTGGGCAACCAGACCTGACAGACCTACTGACTTACAAGACTTGAACCAAGAGCAAAGGTCCTACGGACCGCTCTGACACACAATGACGAATAGTGAGTGACCGTCAGAAACTGTACGAACAGGTAACATCTCTCTGATTCTGATTCTGACAGTCACCGACAAGTTACCGACTACTGTACGAACAAACCATATATCGGGTTTACCGCTGTTCACTGTATCGCGAAGCAATGAAAAGATTTGTGTGTTCACTGTACGGGGTAGTTCACTCGAAGAGGAGTTCACTAAATCGCGACTCCACTGTATGTTCAAATTCGCGAGACACCTTGACCATGACCTCCTAGGGTCAAAACTTAAGAACAGTCAAGACCATATTTGAACGTTAAATTTTCAGCTCTTTTCATTGACGTGGTCAAAAAATGGGGGGTTCCACTTAAAAAATTCGACTTGACCTTCAGATGACCTTGAAATCCATTGTCAAGATCAAATCCAAGGTCACCATTGGATAGCTGGAGAAAACTCCTATCAATCGCGGGATGTAATCTGTTCATACCAATATTAGCTCACAAATTATCGTGGGGTTAGGGAACTTTCAGTCATCCTGTAGTTTTAGTGCTGTGGAGAGTGATATGTAGAAAACTATAAAAAATCCACGCTGAAACTAAGTTTTCTAAATATCACAAAAGTCAATGAATAATACATATTTGTATTTAGTTTCAGGGTTGGATCTGCAAAAAAGTTGCATTATGAGTATCCACCAATGCTCAATCCATCTGTAGTTCGTCCACAAATAAAAATCACACAGTGTGCTTCAGTTACTTCTATCGGAACAAAAAATGACTTTATTATCAATCGCAAAAATGCAGAAGATATTTGCAGGAATGGTGTGAACAATGACAAACGCTTGGTTGTATTAGGAAAAGGAGGCTTCGGAACAGTTGTCAGAGGGGTTTTTAAAGGTATCATGATTTCTCACAAGCCTTTGTAATATCCAACATGCAATCTATACCTTTAAAATGTTCATGAAAAGTTACATGATTAGTATCATATTCTAGTGAATATGTTAGAAACAGCAAACTTTGCAAAATCTTGAAAAGCCGTTAACGTAAGTAATAACATATTCCTTAAAAATTATCAGCTCATATTATCAGTATCATGATAATATTTTCACGGTCTGATAACTTATCAATACCTCATTTACGTTTACGTTTTACTGCCCAAATGACATGGGATATTGCGTTTTCTTGATGTTAGATGACATGTAGATTATGAAAAACAATGCCATCAATTTCCGTCGGTATGTCAGACTGTCTATCTGACCGCTATCCTTGGCTCGTCTATAACTTGAAAAGTACCAATCGGATTTTGATGAAATTTCTATACAAAGTCGCTGCTATACCGCCTTAATCAGAAGCTGCTCTACGGCAAAGCTCCTCAGTGCAATTTTCAGTTTCCGAGAGATAAGCGATCAGTTACGGCAGGTCACGCGCGCCGCCGTTTATAGCATCAAGCTGCAGTAAATTGACGCGTATTCCGATAAACAACGTCAGGTTCGGACTTATTATTACCTACTTACGCACTTATTTGTTTGTGGAAAACTGATTGCAATAAATATTTGTGCAGGACACACAGTAGCCTTAAAGGTATCAAGGGGGGATATGGGGCTACCTGGAGAAGATAATGCTGTGAATCTAGACCATCCAAATGTTGTCAAAACGCTCCACGTTCCTAAAACTGAGGAGGAAGAATACCACTTCCGACTGATCATAATGGAATACTTTCCCAATTGTCAACAGCTTCTCTCACTGATCGAAGATAGCAAGTTTAACATGGATGCAAATTTGCTGAAATTTTCCAAAGACATTGTGGATGGATTGTGGTTTTGTCATAGAAATGGTGTGCTACATTTGGATTTGAAACCACAGAACGTTTTAGTATGTGACGGAGTTTGCAAGATTTGTGATTTTGGTAGCTCCCGTAGACCGAATCACGAGCGGGGATTCATATATCAGGTAAACATCTCACTAAGCATGTTTCAGATTACGTGAATATCTCTCGAATTCCTATAGGATACATTTTGCCTCAGTCTGAAATGGACGTTTGCTTTCTATATCTGTGACTGGTATATTATATATATATATATATACATTATATATATATATTAGTCTGAGAAATATAGCAAAATCGTTTGGGAAAATTGTAAATATGTAGACATATTATTTGGTAAAAACGTATGAAAAAGGTTACTGTACGAAAATATGGATCTTGCCAGTAAAAAAAGGGAGCGCCTTTTTTTAATTCGCAAAAAAGGGTTAGAAAGCCTTTTAATTTTTTTATCAAGTCAATTAATCACTATGATAATGAACGCTGGCTCCTTTTTGAAATATCCTCCCAAGTTATTGCAATAAAACCGTTAAAAATCAGACACCTTACTGTTTCTCTTTATTGCTTTTATTCATATAATACAGACCTATGATAAATAAGTGCTCTGACACATGATAAGAGCAGAGTGAATCCCAAATAAAAACATCTCAGACTTTTGCAATTTTCTTAAATATCATTTTCTCTAAGAATCTCTTCTAACAGCTCGTGGAGGTCATACGGTTCACCGCTGGTGCTTATTTTGTAAATAAGATGTTCTAGTTCCATAATAATAAAACTGAATTATGTTACCGCAATTAAAAAAATAATTTCTAAATTTGAATATAAAACTTACTTTTTATAAAATTAACTCTTCAGGAGCAGTGTGCGTGAGTCTGCGTGTGTCTATCTGGTCTTGTTCATCTGTTTATGAGTCGTGCAGGGATCCCTCCTAGCGATCGAGCCTCTCCCCTCCACTGATCAGGCGGACACGAATGAAGCGCTCCGGAATGTGCATCTGAGCCCTTTGCCACGCGCCACACACCGAGATTAAACAACGGTTGATGGCACGATACAGTGATACACAAACACTAGTCTGATGGAACAGTCCTCCTTTACTGGCTAAACAAGGACGGGTTCCTGTACAATCAGGCGGCCCAGGAGTGCCAGCCCTAATTTCTTTCATCGTTAACTTTCCCGGTGTGGTGTTGTAGAGATTGTCGGGCAGGCCGGAAGCCGTCCTCCACGACCGAACCTGTGCGTTGTTTGTCAGTCAGTTTGTCCGTCCGTCATTCTACGATGCGGGTTGAGCTGTGAGCTTCTTAACCGAGGTTATGTACTTTCATGATCCAACAACACAAATGACTCGATCTCCTGCCAACCCTACCGCCAGGCATCAGGACTAGAAGGTCGTTGTCTGCCCCCACGTGAACGTATGTGTTGGATTATGTTCAGCACAACCTAGAAAAAGTCATTCAAACAGGTCCATACAATTAGTCCATAGACATTTATTCACTGTCCTACTGTAGTGTATCTCTGGTAACGTCGCCTCTCTCCGATACCTAATTCTGCCCAGTACTATACGTGGCACCGTACCGTGGTAGTGCGGCCTAAGCATAGAAAACAGTACACTGTTGCTCGACAGAAATACCTGTGATTCCATAACAGATCAGTCATCACGGTCGGCGCACCACGTCAGCAGTAGCCGCGGTGGATAGCTACGCGATTCGCCTCCCGTGAATATTTTTTGTTTTCAAGGCTAATTAATGTACAGAGAAATCTATGATGTGTGAAATATGTCTAATAGGTGCGTAAAAATTACCAATGTTGGGAGCGTTTGAATGTAACAACTTCAAAAAATTGAGATAAACCGTCTCCATCTTCCTACAAATCCAGTCTCCAAGTTTTTTTGCCTTTAAATTTTAAAAAAAAATGATCAGGACCCTCTGAAACGTCAAAAAACGAAGTTTGCGCGATTTTCATTCATTTCATTTTAGGCCTTTTTCTTTGCGCCACAGGACCGATTTCCAAAAACAACAACCCGCTTGTGTCTTTGGCATAGTATTAATATTGTGTAAAAGTTTCATCATAGAGATCCGAGAGGTACTTCTCAGATTATAAGCGGTTATAAGATTAACGCACAGACCGACATTTTTCGCGATTACAGCTGTAAAAAGATACACTTTCAGTGAATCAAAATATGAAAATATTATTGGACGAAAAGGGATTAGATTATGAATACGCTAATGAATAATTAAATTGATGAACTTACGTACTTGAAGCTTATTATAGTTAGTTATATAGTTTTGTGAACAAGGTTTCTTTCGGGCACCGTAAGGAATTTTGAACGTTGCGTTTCGTTTCATAATAGGAATAATGATAATCTGGTTAAATTACAGGACGTTTTTCAGACGCTGTATATATATGTATACATATTTATTAATTGTAATTTCATGCTGAAACCTTCACTTTATCAAAATGTATCTCCTGTGTGTCTGAGCATACCGTGCATCTTAATACAAGTATTTACAATGAATCATTTGGCCATTTTTCATATAAGTCGCCCCCTCCCCCTCCACCACCTTGAGAGTTAATTTTTCAAAGGTAGGATATGGGATGACTTCATGTAATCACAATAATACCATAAGTAGATTAACCTATCAACGCATAGATTTTGATTGCTTCATTATATCAAAGGCAATAAAATACAAAATCTGATATATTTTAATTCGAAATGTAACGAGCTTTTACAACGCATCAGATTACATACAAAGTCCCAGGGAGCAAGATCTGGACTGTGAGGAAGGTGCTCAATAAGTTTCAGTCCAGTAGTGGTCAAATACTCGGTGCAGGCTTTGGTGAGCTGGAGCGTTGCCATGGTGGAGGTACCGAGTGTCCATTCTTGATTTTGGCCGCAGGTTTTCCATAGATTCTATGAGCTTAGGCAGGTACTGTTCCGTATACTTCTTAGCTGTGACTGACTTCTGTGTGTCCAAAACGACACGCTCCACAACCCCCCTCGATTTGAATGATACAGCTATCATTTTTTTCTTAACAGATCGGGATTTTCTGACAGCTACGAGTGTGTCCTCATTATCAAAGTCCCAAACTTTGTTTTGAGTCTTGATCGGCACATCTTAATAATAGAGTCAAGTCTCGTCGTCTGTCACGATGCTGTTCACATACTGAGATTGACCCTTATTAAACATTTTCAGCATCTTTCGGCATCAAGTCGTACGTGCTCTTCCGTCAGACTGTGCGGTGCCCAGAGAGAACAAAGTTTCCTTACGTGTAAATGGTCACGCTTAAAGTTATACCGTAAAACTGCCCTTATCTCACTACGTGACCAGGATGTCATAGCCCGCACTTTACACAGTCAATACGAATGAACAACTAAATCAACAGACGTGCTGCTGGCGGCTACTATGCACTCATGCAGTAACATGCAGTCTCCTAAGTCCGTTTGCTAAGTCATATTGCAAAACTTTTATAGTACCCTTTGTATTATTTATCACAAAGCTATGTGTCAGTGTTGTGCGATTAGAAGTAATCAAGGCAAATAGTAAATTGTCCGATGTTTAGCGGGGTAATTGCAATAACTTGAAGACTATTTGCCCGATTTTAGTGTTCGATAACTTAGTATTTGACGGCTAAAGAAGAGACCCAATATTCATTCCTGTAGCGATTGAATAACTTGATGAAAAAAAAAATAAAAATGGATTTCTAACACTGTTTTTCACGAATAAAAAACATCCTTTTAATTGCTGGCACGACCCATATTTACGTCTAGTTACCCTTTTCACAAGGTTTTCATGAAACATGCCCCCTACAAACTCCCCCGATAGATAATTTTACTTCCGATTATACACGTATAGTGTCAAGAAACAAATGTATGTGGTATATGATTTTATATTTATTTACTCATATTGTTTGTTATCTTTGTACATTGAGTAAATAAATATTATTATTATTATTATTATTATTATTATTATTATTATACAACAAAACCACAGGAAACTCTAAGTGTTCACCATGTATATAATGCAAAGGTTGCTTAACCACAGACTGAATTGGATCTGTTTGCTTTTCGTCTATGTGATATCGACCAACCGTATACCAATCATCGATACGGGACGGTATAGGCCATTAGCATTTTTTTATACCGAAGCTGCCGCGCAGGCAGAAGCCTAAATGCTCGAACACCGCGGCTGCTATGACACTTTTTTGAACTGCCTAAGATTAGTGGAACTGGGAGAAGGTTCCTCTTGTAGATTGATCCACAAACTCGACACAAAGAAGCGGTCGTATTGGCCAGTTCTGGATGTACGAAGTTTATGCTGGGGGGTGGGTCTGCTTGGCAGGCACATCGCGCGATGACATCATGGAGGAGAGCTCTGAGGAGCAAAGCCCGTTGGTGTAGTGGTAAAAGAGAACTAGATCGCCAACGGCCCTCCGGTGCAAAAGGGTCTCGAGACTGACCGTTAGAAAAGAGTAATCGATCATACGGACATAAATAATGTAGTTGGGGCAGCAGCACGCCAAACGCGTGAGCAATACTCGAGGCTGAGTCTTATCTGGGCCTTGTATAAAGTGAAGGGGTCTTGCGGAGAAAAGTACTTCTTAGCCTCAAACGAACAGCCTAGCTTTTTCCCAGCAGCTGCCGCTATTGACGAGATGTATTTGGGCCAGATCAAGTCCTCGGTGATCTGGACTCCGACCATCCGAAATGAACGGCTCTTTGACAGAACGCGGTCATCCATCGAAACTGCATAAGGGCTAGGGCGCCTTTTGTTCGTCAAGGTACAGTACTGTGTTGTGGAAGCATTAAACCGTACAAGATTATTGTGTCCCCAAGCGTCACACAGTAGCCTTCCACCACTTACGTGTCAGGATGGAACTATTGTATTCAACTCAAAGGCCAAGGCGGAAGTGCTAGCCAAGATCTTTGCTGCCAACTTCACCAAGGACGTCCCCCCCAACGCCCAAGTGCCATCAATTCAAAGGGTTCCCTACACTATGCGGGAGGTAACATTCCGTCTTAAGACCGTAAGACGAGTGCTCTTGTTGCTCGACATTAACAAAGCTTCTGATCCGGACTTGATTCCTCCCATTGTACTGAAGAGGTGTGCACCGGAGCTTGCTCCAGTTCTTTCGCGTCTCTTCCAGATATCGTATGAATCCGACACCGACCTTTATAACTACAGGTCTATAGCTCTACTTTCTGTTATAAGTAAGGTGATGGAGAGGTGCATAAATCGCGAGCTTCTGGACTACCTCGAAGGTCACAGCTTGATTAGCAAGAGGAAGTATGGTTTCCGGCACCAACGATCCACAGGGGACCTCCTATCCTACGTCACGCAATTGTGGAGTAAACTCATCCAGTCTTATGGTGAGGCTCATGTCGTTGCTATTGACAACACGAAAGCGTTCGATCAGCTGTGGCACGCTGCCGTCTTAAGCAAACTTCCATCCTCTGGCCTCCCAGAAGAGCTTTCCAGATGGGTGGCTGACTTTATCTCTGGCCACAAGATATCCATCGTAATTGACGGGTTCTCCTCTTCATCCCACAACGTCAACGCGGGTGTTCCCCAGGGATCGATCTTGGCCCCTACACTGTTTCTGTTACATATTAAGGACCTCTATTCCTGCACGGTCAACCTAACCTACGACTTTGCTGATGACAGCAGTCTACATGCAGGAATTCAGAGTGACAAGCCGAACTCTGCCGCTGAGCTAGAAAAAAGAAGACTAGCGACGACTTCCTCTCTGACAAGAGACCTGGAGGCTATCACTGCTTGTGGATGCAATAATCTTGTACAGTTCAATGCTTCCAAAATATAGTACTGTACTTTGAAAACAAAAAGCGTCCTAGCGCTCATCTGGTTTCGATGGATCGCCGAGTTCTGCCAAAGAGCCATTCATTTACGCTGGTCGGAGTCCAAATCACCGAGGACCTGATCTGGCACGAACACATCTCGTCAATAGCTGCAACTGCTGGGAAAAAGCTAGGCTACTTTCTTAGGGCTAAGAAATCCTTTTCTCCGCATGACCTTCTCATTCTATACAAGGCCCAGATAAGGCCTAGCCTCGAGTATTACTCACACATTTGGGGTGCTGCCGCCCCGACTACATTGTCCATGCTCGATGCTGTCCAGAGGAGGGCGGTCCGACTGATCGATGACTCTTCTCTAACAGACAGTCTCGGGACTCTTTCGCACCGGCGGGCTGTCGGCGATCTGGCTCTTTTCTACCGATACACCAACGGGCTTTGCTCCTCAGAGCTCTCTTTCATGATGCCGTCGCGCGAAGTGCCTGCCAGACAGACCCGCCTGACTTTGGCGTCACATCTCGAGCTTCGTACATCCAGAACTGGCCAATACGACCGCTCCTTTGTCCCGAGGGTGTCGAGATTGTGGAACAATCTACAAGAGGAAGCTTTTCGCAGTTCTACAAACCTTAGACAGTTCAAAAATCGTATTAACAAAATTTCTTTGGTCATCATAGCAGCCGCGGTGTTCCGGCATTTAGGCTTCTGCCTGCGCGGCTGCTTCGATATAAAAAAAAGCAGTGATTACCTCTCATCAGAGAGGAAGTCGCCGCTAGTATTCTTTTGTGCTGTGGATTGGGTTGATCTTGCAAGAAAGGAGGTCGTTGATGACATTGACATTGTGGAATAAAGAGGAGAACCCATCAATTACGACGGATATCTTGCGGCCATAGATAATGTTAGCCACCCAAATGCAAAGCTTCTCTGGGATGCCGTAGGATGGAAGTTTGCATAAGAGGGCAGCGTGCCACAGCTGATCGAACGCTTTCGTGATACCAAGGGCAACGACATGAGCCTCACCATAAAACTGGATGAGTTTACTGCACAATTGCGTGCCGTAAGCTATGAGGTCCCCTGTGGATCGTTGGTGCCAATAGCCATACTGCCTGTTGGTAATCAAACCAGGGCGTTCGAGGTAGTCCAGAAGTTCGCAATTTATGAACCTCTCACCTTACCTATAATAGAAAGCAGAAAGCGCTGCACACCTCTTCAATACAATAACAGGAATCAAGTCCGTACCAGAAGCTTACGGTCATAAGACCGAATCTTACTTCCCGCATAGTGACGACACTTGGGCGTTGGGGGGCGTCCAAGTTGGACTTGACAGCAAAGATCTTGGCAAGCAATTTTGCCTTAGCATTTGAGTCGATTGCAATCGTTCCATCCTGACATGTGAGTGGTGAAAGGCTACTCTGTGAGAAGTTACTTACAATCTGCTTGGCCACCAGAAGACCCAGTGCCATTCCACTGCGACATTACCCTGTGCCTAACTTTATATCGTGCTGGTATTTGACTTTGCGAAACGCTTGTTGTGTTTGGTTCTGGACTCAACGTCGGCTTGTTTGTTCTCTAGAGTGGGGTTTTATAAGAAAGTTATTATTATTATACGTGAAGTGGGAATTCTTGAAACTGATGCCACCGTGTTAAAATGTTCTTTCAGGGTACATTAATATATGCTGCACCTGAATTGTTGATGGGATGCTGGCCAACAGAGAAATGTGATATATATTCTTTGGGGATAACCTTCTGGCAAATGAAAAGCAGAAAAAGTCCTTATTCAGAATATGAAAATATGGAAACAATTATATACAAGGTATTGGACAAGTAAGGAAGTAAGTTTGCTTCTCATAAGTAATAATAAGTGGCTATAGAGCTTCGAGATACTATTTTTGGGACTTACGCAGTGCAAGGTGCATTATAAGTAAAGCAAAGTACCTTAAACTGGACCTGTTTCCTTAAGAAAATTCTTAGTCTTATTGGCTCTGCATTTTTTGATACATCATCATTGCCAAGTGCCAATAGTAGCTCAGGTATCTACCACGCCATATTGGAGCCCATGCGTAGCTCGCGTCACACGCAGCTTATTCATCCACGATCATGTTTTGGTGGTTGAAAGAGTTCCGGTACAGTGCTGCAATCTTCCTTATTATTGACAAATATTTACAAGTAACGTTATACCGAAGGTATAATAAGTCTGAGAGGCTACACTGCCATTAAAAGCTTTGGTCAAACATCTCCGGGAAAGAAAAAAGAGCCGTTATACTTATATATTTTCTTAAATGACAAGCTTCTAAGTTCGTCCTTCTCAGGAAATTGGTTTATTTAGTTGTATGACTAGAATTTTATTTGTTGAGATCAAGTAAATAAAGCAATAAATAAACTGATGGGATGGAAGAAGACAGGAAGTAGGAAAAAACCTGCATCTGCGATTTCAATCGATACGAAATTAAAAAATATATTTTCTTTCTTGAAAATAAAATCTTAATTTTCAATAGAAGTCCGGTTCTGGAAAATACTTTTCTTAATAACATTTTCCAAATGTAACTTCCTTAAACTTATCCTGTAGTTTTCATGTTCATAGGATTCCAACTTCTTAGTGAACTTGTAATAATTATAGGTGGTGAAATTTAATCTACGACCGGAAGAAAATACACCTGATTTAAATTATGCAAAACTGTATCAAAGGTGTTGGAGTAGAGACCCCGATGATAGACCTACGAGCTTTGAAGTTATAAAAAATTTACTCAAAGATTGTTTTTAATTATGCCTCATTATTTTGTTATTTTAGTTATATATTTTATCTTGTTTTACGTACTTTTGATCAATAAAATGCCGTTTTTACGTTTCTTTCGTTTTTCAGAACTCTAAACCATTAAAAGTTACCTAAAATTCTACTTCCACAGTGAGTAATTGAAGACTCCAATACTTAAACTGAATTGAACTAGCCACCTGTTTAGGCATAGGTAGTTTGAAATTCTGCATCGTGTAGTAGAACGATTGAAGCTCTCAATTCAAAGGATATTATATAATCGGTATTTGCATCGAAATTCATCACTTAGTACAGGCATATTTTACCATGCAACAACATATGTTTTTCTAAAAATATGAACTGCTTTGCATTGGTTCGTATTTTTCTTGAGCAACACAGATATCAGTGAAGAAAAAACATCTTAAGCTATAGGCAATAATGTTAATTGCAGCCAGGTCAAAACAGCATTATATACAAAATACTGATGTTTCAGTACGCTTACTGAGTGTTTTCAACTTCAGCAGGATTCTTTCTAAAATGCAGTGTAAGTTTTTCATTGTGATTTAAAATATCTACTTGCTTCTAGTTTCTTTCTAGTAGTATATTAATTCGGAGATCTTTTAAAGATTATTTGTAATAGAATACTAACAAGCCAAATGGTTGCCAACGGAATTCGTTCTATAATCGATTTTAAGATATACTATCGAAATCTTAGTTTTTTCTTATCAAACACAAATAATAAAAATGTAGCAGGGTGTTATAGGTTTAAGATATTAACAATGAATATTTTGATAATATGTAGTAGAAAACACCAACTTTATCACTCCCTAATCAAATTTGCAGCATAAAAATAGCACATGTTGCAATTACAGCATATCAACCTATTTTCATTTCAATGCAAAATAAGTCTATAACGCATAGGTGGCTGTGAAAAATAAAAGGCATAACAATTGTTTCTATTAATCACAGCTGTCAGAATACGTTTAAAACAGTTTTGGGTAGTTAAGGTTTTCAAAATGGGTAGAGGAAAGGTTATTAGTGAGAAAATTCGGTTACTGATAATCAATCAATCATCAAACTCAGAAATTGCAACTTTGTTAGACTTATCGCGGTACACTGTGAGAAATATTGTTAGAAGATATAACGTAACTGGTTCAGTTAATATTAAGCCACGATATGTGAAAAAAAGTAATATCACAAATGCCGACCGAAGAGCATTAAGAAGAATAATCGTGAAAAACAGGCGTGCCAATTATTTACAATTATCTGCTCTGTGGAGTGACGCTGTTTGAAGGAGAATTTCGAGGTCCACAATTCATAGAGAGGCCCACAAACTGGGATTTAGCACTTGCAAGGTGAGTTTTCTTATAAAAAAAGTGAAGTAAAAACCCTAAAGTTGCACAACTTGTTTATAGGCCAAAGAAAAGCCACTATTAACTCCACTGCAAAAGAAAAATCGGCTTAGATAGGCTAAAGAACATAGACAATGGATACAAACAAATATTTGGCAATGTTAGAAGAATCGCTTTTACCAGTGATGGAAGAATGTTTGACATCCGGCCAAGATTTTGTGTTTCAGCAAGATGGTGCAGCGTGCCATACCTCAAAAAAGGCTATAAAATGGATGGAATAAAATAATGTACCACTTTTGAAATGGGTTTCTAGCAGTCCAGATCTGTCACCTATTGAAACTTTGTGGCACGAGATGAAAAAGGTTCTACGACAACATCCTGCTCGTACAATCACCGAACTGAGACATAAGCTTCAAGAAATATGGGATTGTTTTACACCAAATTTTTGCCAAAACTTGGTTAACACTATGCCCCAAAGAATTTCAGCCATAATAAAAAATAAAGGTGATGTTACCCAATGGTAATCTTTCAATTGTTGCTTTGTTAACTTCGCGCATTTATTCACACATTGTATATTTGTTCAGATGTTCTATTAGTTATAGGTCTGAGTGATTTCAAATATGTATTTTTTACGACTAGAGTGTATCTAAAATGTGTTTGAGAAAATAAATTGTTTTAGAAGTAAATAGTTTCGTCATGTTTAGTTTATAAAGGCATATTTTGGTACAAATCTTGAAGTGGGCCTGCTGAAGTGGGAAGGGGCTCGTATAAAGGCTTTCAGTGAAAAACATATTCCTGGAGTTGAACATTTCTAGCAAAAGTAGTAAAATCAATAAAAGTAGCAAAACGACAATATTTGTTAATCTATGATTTCGATCTGTTGGTAATTATATCAATAACTAAGGATGATTATTGTCAGTTAACTAGTATCTGCTGGACTCGTCTAGAAAGAAAATTATGAATTAGAAATAACGTTAAATATTGAAATATTTTAGTACGTCCTCAAACACTCTGACCATGTAATGACACTGGGGATTCGTAAAGTTCTTGAAAATGACGACAGCGCACCCCAGAGCTGTTATCTAAAAATCTAAAATAAAGAAGATAGCGCTTTTGAAAAGCGAAATCATTAAATATTTCCACAGCCACAAACCTGTGGCGAAAACTCGAAGATAGGATATCCCAGCAGCAGTTGCTAACGGACTGGTGAAAGAAAGAAAAAGAGCGCACTGGCAGCGCACTTGACGTACAAAAGCATTGAAATGTTTTCCAATTAAATTTATTTTAGGATCATTACTGTTGAGTCGAGCCCGGTTAAGTTCTCATTTACGACGATGAATACGAAACACGAATTATTTACGCCACTATGAATAACTAACCCGAGCTCCAACGATAGCAGCAGTAACAGGAGGATGTTCAGAAGTGGGATAGTGCGGGTGTTGATATGGTAAATGGCATGCAAGCCGATTTAAAATGCAAAGTGTGATACGGAGAAAAACAAAGCCAAGCAGAAGCAACGTAAAATATTTACGAGAACGATTCCTAGGTCTCGACCCTAAACGTTGTGAGTTTTGAGATACAGGGTGCTAAACTTAATATGAACTGTTTGTTTTTATATTATCTATGACACTACTTTACACATTCATTTTATTTTCATAATTCTCATTGTATGCAAAGATGTGTAGATCTTCTTCCACAGGATTTAGCCGTAAAAAATAAGAAAAATCATGTTACTATGTTGCTATTAGGTACCTATGTTGTTTCTTTCTTGTCCACATTAGAGTCACATGACTGTTCAGAGAGACACATATCTGTTATAAATTAGAGAAATAATTTCAGTTACCAGAAAGCGCAATGGCGTGTACAAGATAACTATGAAATCACGCTCTCGGAAATAGATAGAGTTACGATTCTGGTAAATGGGAAGAACTGCAGCTTCAATAAATTAGGATATTTTTGTCAAATATTGAGTTCTCATCACAACATATTTTCATTTCCAACTTATGTGCCATAACATTTATTTGAGCTTGATTAATCGTTAGCTGGATTTGGTCATGATTTTGAAGAACTTGAGAGAAAGTATTTACATGACTAGATAGTTGAATAGTTCATATATATTTGTTGGGGAAAACCATGGAAGTCTAAAAGGGAAAAGGATCCGCAGTGCTTAATCGCCATCAGACATCTGTATTCTGAAACTCTTTTATTTTTAACATGGCATTTGTGGGCAAACAACTCGTGGATCTTGCACCACGATAACGCACCATCACACAACGCCATCATTATCAGTGAGTTTTTGGGCAAAAACAACACGAATACCATTCAACAACCTCCCAATTCACCTGATTTGGCCCCCTGTGTCTTCTTCTTGTTCAATCGAATAAAAAAGCCACTGAGAGGAGCCCATTTCAGCAGCCGAGAGAAGATAGTGGAAAAATCGAAGATTTCCCTAATAGACATACTTAACATGGAGTTTAAAAAATGTTTCAAGGACTGGATCAAGCGTTGGCATTAGTGCATTGCAGTCAATGGGGACTACTTTGAATGGGATAGTATCGATTTTGAACAATAAACTTGTATTGTTTATTTTTTTAATAAATTCCGGGAACTTTTTGATGAAGGTATCGATTCGATACTTTAGCGCTTTTGAATTTAGTATTTTTTATTTCCATATTGGTTCATGGATATAGAAATAATTTTGTGAATCTTTAGGTGGGATTATTGAATCGTGGTCCATTTGTTCAGACCTGATCTTAGCGGTTGGCTTGTATATTTATGCGAAATATATTTAACCGTTTAAGAGCAACTGATAATTTAATCAATTCCTCAGTATTGTACCGATGGAGTGCGGCGAGACGCGAGTGAGTTTCACCTTGAACAATCGACATGTGTATCAAGAAGTCTTGTCCCAGAGGTCGTCTTGTTCCAGGAGGTCGTCTTGTTGCAGGAAGTCGTCCTGTTCCAGGAGGTCGTCTTGTTCCAGGAGGTCGTCTTTTTCTGGGAAGTCGCCTTGTTCCAGGATGTCGAATTGTTCCAGTATCATGAGCTGTATTTTGAGATTGTTGGGATCTACCTTCCATAAGGGGAGTCAGTTACGAAAGAACTACGGTAGAACAAATTTAAGGAAACTCTAATTTAGATCAGGAGTAGTAATTATTCAACCTTAAAGAATAAATTCTAAAAACGGTGATGTGGCTAAGTCCAGTGCCATACATTTCATGGTCACAAGAAATGGGGTAAGAGTTTTGTCTTCAAGCCCTTAGTGAAGAAAGTGATATAACACATAGAAAAAATAATGAGCAAAATCTGCAAAAAGAACGAAAGTGGGTTCAAGCAGAAAAACTTTTGAGACTGTTCTATTTTTTTGAAGTTATCTTTTGTTATTCCACAATCTTACATGACATATTTCCAAATGATGTATCGTTAAAAAAAGTTTCATTAAGAAATTGATCATTGAACATCTGAAATTTATGCTGTGGCTTACATGCCGATAATCCCCCACGCTTGTGGAAGTCCAACTCTCCAAAACGACAAGCGTATGAGGCTATCTGTCGTGTTTTAATATACCAGAGACGTCACTATCACCCATCGTCCCGAAACGCACCAAAAGCCTTAAAAACCACGAAAACCCTCCCAGAACCGTTGTCAAAACGCACTTCTTATGCAATCTTCGACTAAAATGTTGCAAGTGATCTGGTACAATTTCGTGGCCACCTGTTCACCTGACTTAAATCCTCTCGATTTT